CCATGTATTTAGATTTTGGATATTGGACCATAATATGTAAATTAAAAAAAATTAAGTTCTTAGACCACATTCATTCTGTGTCAGAAACCTATGCTGTGTCAAATATTTAATCACAATCCAAATTCAGAGCTGTATCAAGCTTGAATGTTGTGTCCATACTTGCCCCAACTGTTCAGGGTTCGACCTCTGCGGTCGTATCAAGCTGCGCCCAGCGGAGCATTTTATTTTAGCCAGTCTGCAAAAGCAATTTAGTTTCTGAGCAGATCTATTTACTTACGAAAGTAAGTTGTCGATCTATTTTACAAACAAACAAAATACAAACGAATACATTGGAGTGATGAGAAAAAAAATTGTTTGTAAAGTATTGTTTATTTGATTAGTATATAATTATGATAGAAATGCGTACTAATATACGAAGTCGACTTTGTTCAGTTCTATAGTTATTTTAATCAATTTCACAAATGAGGACTTTTCCAATAGAAAAAAATGTCAATAAAAATTTATTACTGTTTTGTTGAAATCGAATTACCCAGGGATAATCCGTAATTGTCGGGTCTATATCCGAAATAGGAATTATTCTAACTAGCTGTCCAGCTGAAGTTACCTGATGGATGTCTTTAGAATAAAACACATATGCGTAAATGTTCCCGTCAAAGTCCATGTCCTGGCAGTAAGCATAACTTAATTGGCTGTTAATGTATTCCAATCCTTTGTCTCTTGACGATTTCAAGCACAGAATTTGTGCCATTCATATAAATGTATTCGTCTTTCTCGCAACAAGTCACAAATCTAGAGTCTTGACCTGTTTTATAATCTTTTATTTTTACACCAGTTTCAGAATTCTACCACGTTATATTGTTGTTATATCCAGTTAGGAACTCACCTTTTAGATAATATAATCCCCAAACAGGAGCGTCGGATTAATGCAAATGGATATATATTCAGTATATCAATTTGGCGTGAATCCGAAGAAACCGCTATTTTCCTATCGCTAATTATTGTAACATCGGTTGGTGATGACGCAATCTTTAATTCCTCTTTCTTTAACCCATTATGGTCGCAAATAGTATTCTGTAGTTCGATCTGTCTGTCAGAATGATATTCTCATCGACGAAAACCCCGCTTAAAAGTCCGTTGCTAGCATAAAAATCAATAGTAAACAAAACATTGATACAACCTGAATGGAAATTTACTTTCTTCAGACCTTTTGCCATGTATGCTGATTTTACCTCAACATTTAAACTACCGAGACAGTTAAGGTTACTTTTTTCTGGTTTGAATGACACAGACGCATCATTTACTTCACACACTACGTTTGATATCTCATTTTTGATAAAAGGAATTCCACTTAAAATTTCTTCCATTTTTACCAGAACTTGAAGATCGGCACTATGAAGAGAACATGATTCAAATATATTTTCCCAGTTATCAATAGTACTTTTCAGGCTATCTATTGCAGTAGCATTATCGCTCAGTTTTAAAATTAACCTTTTCTTCGTATCATGTGTTTCGTTCTGCAATTTAAGTTCAAATTCATTTAAACGTTTAATGATGTTATCCTTTTGGGACTTAAGATCAGTCAAAAACACTTCAATATCTTGCTCAAAAGTTGTCATGCTGTCTTTATTGTAAAGAATAACCTTTCCTAACGGCACTACATTGGGACAAACTGGACATTTGAAATCTATAAGGGTTTCTTCTTTAACAGTTGAAAGAATGTAAGTATTAACACACAATTTAACTCACAAAAGGTATGTAATAAAATGGGGAATGTGTTAAAGAGACAACAACCCGACCAGAGAGCAAAAAACAGCCGAAGGCCTCCAATGGGTCTTCAACAGCGACAAAATCCCGCACCCGGAGGCGGGCTGCAGCTGGCCCCTAAACAGAAATGTGTTGCTGTACTAGTTCAGTGAAAATGGACGTTATACTAAACTCCAAAACATATAAATGAATTAAAATTAAAAATCATACAAGACTAACAAAGGCTAGAGGCATGGTAGATAATTAGGATTACTGAAAGTCTCTAGGCATATTGAGCAAGTCAATAATTGTTAAAAATCGTTATGCACATCATATATCTGTGGATCTTTGGAGGACGCCATTTTGCTGTGTTATCTTTAAACACCCTCGTTTGAAGTTCAATATACATGCATGTATTATTAATCAGTAAATCTCTGTTTTTAATGTGAAAATCTGAATTTACATTCAAAGGACTTAGGTTAATGATACTTATTTAACGTAAAAACACGTCGTAATATTTTCGGGTAATTCATATGAAAAAAAATAAAATTTCACTTTAGAATTTGTAATTTGTCTCTGAATTATATCTTTTTTTTCATTTTGCTGGGTTATCTGTAAACGTCTTTGTATAAAGTTTTTTTGCATAGGTGTATTAATATTTCTAAGTTTTTAATCTGATACTCAATATTTACATTTCATGCCTTGCATGCATTACAATATAATGCAATTTTAAGTGATTTTGATGTGAAAAAAATCATTTTATTTTAATTTGTCTCGTTCTTTCAATTTTCAATACTCATAAAAAATTATAATGATTATAAAAAAAACTAAAAAAGTATATATACAAAAATAGTATCTTTTGCGTTGATTGATTGAATGTTGTTTGCTTAAACAGGTAAATTTTTGAGCATATTCAAAATGATTAATGGTTTTTGACCTGGAGTAGATATCTTGTATTCTGGAGAAAGTGACCCGTGCAAGCAATGGTATAAAAAATATTTTAATCACAGTGTGCTTCGACGTCATTTACTTCGAAGTGGATGGTGTTGATTAAAGCCATAGCGCGTAAAAGATTGCCAGAGCGAAAACAGTTACAACTGAAAGCTGTTTGACATATATGATTTATATTTCCAAGGGCCATTACTCTTATACAAATATCTGACAGTATTGGTTTTTAGAGCTCAATCGAGATATTGTTCGTCTAACCCTTCCAATTAAAATGTATACATTTAAACGTCATATACCTGTCAAGAACTAAAACGGCGAGACAGCTTAATAACAAGTTTTTTTTGGGGTAAAAAAAATATAAATTCCTCATGGGTATATATTATATATTAAATCCATTAAATACTCTAATCGGTACTTGTCTGCGATCAAGATTGATTTTATTGGTGCATAAGTTGTTCTGTACATATTCCAGTCTGATTTAGTTGATGTTCAAAGATGTATTATTTGCACAATGCCATTGATGGATGTTTTATTTTAGTAAGTCAGAAAACCTGTATTCAAATTTTCTCCTTTCCAATAAACTCATCATAGATACCAGCCTTAAAAATGTGTACGCCAGACGCGCGTTTCATCTACAAAAGTCTCACCAGTGATGCTCGAATAAACAAAAGCTAAAGAGGCAAAATAAAGTACAAAGTTGAAGAATATTGAGGATCCAATTCCGACAGCTAAAAGTAATGTATTACTGTTGTAGAAAATTGTTGGTATCTCGAAAAATTCCAATTAAAGACTTTAATGTTTGTGCTGTCTCCGTAAGGTCGCTATCTAAAGTTCTTAAGAATGTATCCGGTAAATAGTTATGATGATTGAAAAATATACAACGAGAACAAGGCTATCATGTATTATTATCTTGATCCTATAAATATGAAAGAAAACTGTTGAATTGAGAACACCTTTAAGCAAGGTATATGACACAATTAATAGGATTTTTTTTGTGTTGGTGACCATGATATTTAATGGTTATTTCTAAACCACATTCATGCATTAAAAACATGGTTTACTATGATGAACTGTAAAATATATAAATGCAAAATGCAGCCGTGGTACTGACGTAAACCAAAGGTTTGGATAGCAAAATTTGCGCGACAATAATTTACCCAATGATCAATCCTCAATAAGAAGATACACATCAAGTTACCAAATAACAAATGAGAATACTCCAGAAGGAGCGAAACCGGATGAGTCGACAGAGTAATCGCTTTCTGCAATACATGAATCATGTATGCACCCGCCATACGAATCAACACTCAGTTAAAATGTCAATCTCAATCGGGAAAAGGACAAATATATACAGCGTATTAAAACATAAAAAAACGTTTCTAAATAGAACAACAAGAACGAGGGAGTTGAATTAACCAAAATGTATTTATGGAGACATTTAAACGCCATACAATGGGTAACGGATATATATATATGTAATTAATGAGAAATTAAAAGTTCAAGTTGTCAAAGGGAAAACTTAATTCGATAGTTTTTCATTGACTACAATATGTCGTCTATCGACGTCAATTCTAAGGAAAGCAGACATCTTAGTTTCAGTAATATCACTAATGTTAAATTTAAATGATATTTGAGATGAGGACAATCGCTGAAATGTCGGTTATATCGTGACATAATAGATTTGTTTGTATCAATACCAAAGAAATGGTAAAGAAATTATACATACATTGTTTTAGATGCAGATATGTTTTGTTTTAAAATTGGAAAGAAATTGAAACTTTAAGTTGTCAATTGGAATACTGAAATACTAAGTAGATAAGTTGTTCGTGGATCGTAGTTTGAAGTCGTCTATCGATATCAATTCCAATATACCGATTAAGATAGGTAGCAGACATTCTGAGTTCGGTAGTATCCTTAATGTTATTTTAAATTAATATTTGAAACATGTTGAAAATTATCGCTGAAACGTGGGTTATTGGGTAACATGAAATAATTGTTAAACCATGCCAAATAAATAGTATTAAACTGCTCTTCTTTGTTCATACTACAGATACTACTATTGGAATTTAAAATTCAGAATACAGAATATCAATCCTATTGTTTTCTGCCGAGTTGATGTCCTCTTTCCTGAGAGACATCTAGACAATAATTCATGATATTACTGAAACACATTCCTTTATATAATGATTTGGATAACAACACCTACTGCATATTCCTATATATGAATATCCGTCCCACAATTTGAATTTGATGATATTTTACAATGAAATAAGACATTGGTATTGTTTTTGAGGAAAATAAAATGAAAACTTGTTTTAAATTTGTATTCAGATTAGTGTGCATAAATTATATTCCAATGATTATTTTTTTACTTTTAGAAATGAAAAAAAAAAAACAAAACAAAAAGAATTGAAATAACGGGAATCGACAATACTATATTGAACAGTTCAACAGACCCTGATTTTCCAGCACTTGATAATTTTTTTAATTTTATGAAGCGCTAGAAAAAGATAGGTTGTTGATCTGTTTCACTTATTTAAAAAGATTTTACTACCTAAAAAATATTTAAACATCTTAATTTTAAGGTCAATTGTATATCACTGTCGCCAAGTTGCAGTACATCGAGTTAACAAACGTACAAGTGAAGATAAAAAAACACAAAAGCAAAAAGCAATATCGCTATCAGAGCCGCAGTCCTTTTTTCCTCGATCGTGACATCACCGATTGGGATATCACCAAATTTCGTCTTTTTCATGAGCAACAGGAAACTAAGGTAACAGGATCTGCTTACTTTGCCAGTGCACCTAAGATCACCAACGGTTTTGGTAGGGTTCGTGTTTCACAGTCCTTATTCTTCTTAGCAGTGCTTTATAGACTGTTATTTGCCTCCTTGTCGTTTTTCTTTTTGGTTGTGCTATTGTCGTGTTGTTACGACTTCTTATTTTTCATAGTCCCTTTTAAATTCGGTCTGTTCTTTAAAACAAGGTCGGTAAGTGAAAAAAAAATAGTGGACATTACTGTCTTCAAAAACATTTAAAAATTAGTTTCTGAGTCGGCCTGCAAACGAACGGAATCTTAATAAGTTACCGATCCGTTTTACAAATGAATACATCAGCATGATGTGAAAAGAACGTTTGTTTGTAAGTAACAGTTTGTTTAATGTATATGATTATGATAATAATGCAACTAATATACATTGGTCTACAGCCCATTATCTTACTCCCGACTATGTTCAGTAGTATAGTTATTCTAAACAATTTCACAAATGAAAACTTTTCCAGTATAATGAAATGTCAATAAAAATTTATTACTGTTTGGTTGAAATCGAAGTACCCAGGGATAATCCGTTATTGTCGGGTCTATTTGAGATGTAGGAATGATTCTTATAAGTTGTCCGGTGGATGTCAGCTGATGGATATTTTTAGTAAGATAACCAGTAGTGTAAATGTTCCCGTCATAGTCAATGTCCTGGCTGTAAGCATAACTTAATTTGTTATTACTGTATTCAAATCCTCTGCCTTTAGACGATTTAAAGCAAACAGAATTGCTGCCATTCATATATATGTATTCGTCTTTTTCATAACTAGTAACAAATCTTGTGTCTATATTTGTTTTATAAGTTTCTATTTGTACACCAGTTTCAGAATTCAACCACGTTATAGTGTTGGAATTTGCGGTTATAAATTCACCCTCTAAATAACATAATCCCCAAACAGGAGCCTTGACACGTAGTGTACGGATAAAAATAAATGGATTTATGTTCAGTATATGAATTTGGCGTGAATCCGAAGCGACGGCTATTTTCTTATCGCTCATTCTTACAACGTCGGTTGGTTTGCTTGCAAGCTTCAATTCCTCTTTCCTGGAGCCATTTTGGTCGCTGTGCAGTATTCTGTAATTCACCCTGTCTGTCAGAATAATAAAATCATCGATAAAAACTCCGCTTAAAAATCTTTCACCGACATTCTTAACATCAACATCGATGGTTACCAGAACATTGACACGACCTGAATGGAAATTTACCTTCTTCAAACCAAGTGCTGTGTGTACCGATCTTTCCGTAGCCGTTAAACTGCCGAGACAGTTAAGGTTTATATCTTCTGGTTCGAATGAAATCGACGCGTCTTTTACTCCATAAACAACATTTGCTATCTCTTTCTCCATCTGAGGAATTCTACTCGAAATTTCTTCCATTTTAACTAGAACTTGAAGATCAGAACTCTGATGAGTGCATACTTCAAATATAGTTTTCCAGTTATCAACAGTACTTTTCAGGCTTGACATCACAATAGCTTCATCGCTCATTTTCAAAGTTACTTTTTTCTTTGTAGCATGTGTTTCGTTCTGCAACTGTAGTTCAAGCTCATTTAGACGTTTAATAATATTTTCCTTTTGGGACTTAATATCAGTCAAAACAACTTCAGCATCTTGCTCAAAAGTTGTCATGTTGTCTTTATGGTTGAGAATAACATTTCCTAATTCGGCACTAGTTTCTTTCAATTTCACCATGAGTTCCCGTGCTTTCGTTGATTGTTTTATACCAGAAGTTACCTTGTCTACGGTAACAACCTGTTCACATTTCCTATGATGAACAGTGGCACAAACAGTACAACATGATTTTGAATGATCATTGCAAAATATTTCGATGTTCTTATCCGGATGTTCTTCACAATTGACGAATCCGAAATTCTTCGATGAGGTTGTATATTCTTCTATATTTTGAAGTGGTATTGTTTTGTGATTTCTGGATATTTTATACAACTTATGATTAGTTTCGCACGGTTCGCAATATGTTTCTTCGCATACAGTGCAGAAGGAGATTGCCTTCTGTGAAACGTTTTTCTGTTCACATGTATCGCAAAGCTTTTCCGATTGCTGTATTGCTTTTCTATCAATCATTGAAACTATAAAATAATTCCCTGGTAATTTTGCAGCCCATGTTTCTGGTTTAGCTTGACTGTTATCGAACGGCACTAGGTTTCGACAAAGTGGACATTTGAATCCATCAGGTTTGTCTTCTTTAACAGTTGAAATAATATAAGTATTAACACACAACTCACAAAATGTATGTAGACATGGAAGATACTTTGGATTTCGGAAAGTCTCTAGGCATATTGAACAAGTCAATAAATCATTAAATTCTTTTTGTACAGTGGCTCCCCGTGCGTCTTGTAAGGACGCCATTTGCTTGTGTTGTCTTTAAACTTCCTTGTTCAAAGTTCAACATGTATAACTATACCAGTCAGTTATGGTGTTTAATCTGAAAATCAGTATTGATGCATAACAAACATTACAACGTCATGTAATTTAGTGTGATTAACATGAGAAAATTAATTTCATTTTAATATGTCCCTAAACTTTTCATTATTTATAAAAAATGATAAAAATGCCTAATATTTTCAATTGTCAGGAAGACTCGTATTGAATTTCGTGGATACTTAATTTCGTGGTATTCGGTTGCCAAAGTCTGCATACAAGCCTATAGAAAATTTGTCATTCGTTGAACATTTAGTTTCGTGGTTCACCTGTACCAACGAATTCCACGAAAATTGGTATCCAACTAATAATATTGAATCCACAGTATAGAACTTTAGTTTAAGTTTAAACCATTTACCATGTTTACGAAACTTCATCGTAAAAGTGGCATAGTTTTAGTCATAATAGGAGTTCCTATGGGAAATTATATTGTCTATCCAGAAGAACAGCGTACTGGCTGTATAGGTCACGGAAAAAAATAATCGTTTATGTACGGAGATAGGACATGAAATTTCAAGAAGAACAAATATCAACAGCCTAGAACAGAATACGCCAAATGCGTCGACATGGCTTATTCAAACCGAAATTAACCGTTTCTGTTAACATTTTGGATATAGTTTCTAAAACTGTTCGTTAAAACCGTTCTCATGGGCGTAGAATGAATCGCAATCAAAGAAAATTTCGTACCAACAATACGAATATTTTGGATCTAATTTCTTTTTCAAAAAACAACGGCAGACATTATCTGTTAACCAAGCTCTGCTCTTTACCTGTTAATAAATTACATCAAATTTTAGGGCATTGCAACACAATTTCATATTGCAGTCCTAAGTATGAAATCGTCCAAATAATAATTGCATATTGTTATTCTAAACTGTTTCCCAAAATTGATCGCCCTGAAGATCATAAAAACATTTTATTAAAATCAAATATGTCAATAAAGGTTTTGATTTTGTAAATATACGTGTATACGCAATGAATATGTAAAAGTAAACTTTATGAAAAAACGACTTTTGAAGACGTGCGTGACCACAAAAAAATAAGGAAAAGAAAAATAAGTAGTGATTGCCACATGTGTCACGACAGATTGTTTAAAAGGATTTATGTGTATGGTTTCTTGAATATTTCATATGAACATAGAGTCGTATAGTGAACAAACATATCATAACCACATCACAGCTTAAGGCCTCTTCTGAACTTTTCAAGGTCCCTACTATGTATAGGTTACCTAAACTACACACAAAAAAAAGTAAAATATCGTTTCATCTCGGCCTCTAGTAAGTGTTCTACAACTTATCTTTCAATGCTTTTAACTATTTCCTTAACTACAATCAAAGAACTTATCATTAACTTTTGTAATAGAATATATGAACAACGTGGAATTAACTATTTTTGGAATTTAAAAAATGTTTTAGATAATTACGTGCTTTTGATTCTGTTGACAGTTTTGACTTTTCAACTCTTTATACTATACTTCCACACAATCTTATCAAACAAATGTTTTCCTATTAAATGAAATGGTCGTTTGGTAAATCTGAAAGCAAATATATTTGTTGCAACTCATTTAAAGCCTTCTTCTCTAATGAGAAAGGTAAATATGCTAGATATACTTACTGGAGGTGTGATGAGATGACTGAAACTGTTTATTTTCTCCTTGATAACATTTATGTACGTTTCGGCAATAAAGTTTATATTCCTATGGGCACCAATTGCGACCCTTTAATGGCAGACTTGTTCTTGTACTGTTATAAATCACAGTGTATGACCAAACTCAGTAAAGACCCGTCTAAATTGCATTTAATTAATAAATTCAACAACACTTGCCGTTATCTTGATGATATTTTTTCGTTTAATAATCAAGAATGTTCTAAATATACTGCAAAAATTTACCCAAGGGAACTTTCTTTAAATAAATCAAATATAAACGGAAATAAATGTCCTTTCCTAGATTTAGAAATTTCAGTTTTACACGGGAAACTCTACACTAAAGTTTACGACAAAAGGGATGATTTTTTCGTTCTCTATTGTTAATTGTCCTTTTTTGGACGGTGATGTTCCTTTGGCACCATCTTACGGTGTCTATACATCACAACTCGTTCGCTATGCCCGTGTCTGTTGTGACGTTTTAGATTTCAATGAACGTTATCTACTTTATTATGCATAACTGGTAAATTATTAAGTCAGGGATTTCGTTACCACAAATTACTTAAAACCTTTACTAAATTCTTCCATAGATATATTGATTTGGTTTTGAGGTTTGGTTGTACCTGTAGAAAACTTATTTCAAACGAGATAGCTCATTCCATTTTTACGGAGTTGTTTACTTAGCCCGGAAATTTAGAAACGATCTGGGTAAACTTATTCTAAAAGGTTACGAATTCAACACTGTAATTAGATCTTTAAATGTTGTTTTTATTGTTATCAGTATTTATTTTGTAAATTAAAATCAAACTAAATATTATTTTTATATAAATATGCACATTCATGGTTCTACAATCTGTCGATACCTGTATATTGGCATTGCATAAGGTCATATTTTTCTCTGACTGTTCATGACATCTTTACACTAAATCCATTGGATGTTGGGTGTGTATTGATTGATATTTAAGTCTTAGATGCATTGTGTTTTTTTTTAATTAGTTTTTATTGGCTTTGAACTAGCTGTCAGTAACTGCGAGTACTCTCAGATCTGTAATTAGTGTCTTTTTGTTGTTGGGATGTATAAGTACCCGTCCACTCTGTTTTTGTTAGATGTATTTTTTTTGTATCCATCTAATGAGTTAAGCCTTTTTCAACTGATTTTTACAGTTTGTTCTTATGTTGTACTATTATACCACTATCCCAGGTTAGGGGAGGGTTGGGCAGGGGTTTCTCGTTTGAATTGTTTTTACATTTGTCATTTCGGGGCCTTTTATAGCTGACTATGCGGTATGGGCTTTGCTCATTGTTGAAGGCCGTACGGTGACGTATAGTTGTTAATTTCTGTTTCATTTGGTCTCTTGTGGAGAGTTGTCGCATTGGCAATCATACCACATCTTATGTTTTATATATGACCACGTTTAAAGGTCTTACGATGTGTTTACATTAACCGGAGATCATAAACGTTGAATAATCGAAAGGTATTAATTGCATATATGTATTGATTATTAAGGAATCAAAATGGCGACAATTTCATTCGCTGACGAAGAAAATCTTAATGATTTATCAACTTGTTCTATTCGTGGAGAATTTTTTCAAGAACCAATATGTTTGCCGTGTTCATATATAGTGAACATGGTGAATAAGGATAACACCATTGAATTTAAATGTTCATTGTGTCGAAATAATGTTCCCTGTGGAGAAAGCAATGGCAAACCACAAACATGGGCATCACAGTTACCTGTGAACCAATTCCTATAGTTCATTGATAAAAAACAAAATTGCTACCACAGAGAAAAAACTATGTGATCCATGTTAATTGAACAATGATAACAAGGAGTCAATATTTTGGTGCACCTTATGTGAAGGGACATACTGTCAAATGTGCTCAAGAGCACATGAATCTTTCAAAGCAACAGCAAATCATGACATTGTTTCTGTCAGGAACCATAGCAAAAATAAATGTCTTTCGGAAGAGCAAGTCAGTTGCATTTAACATCAAGATAAAACAAGAAGAATAATTTGTAAAGACCATAACATGCATAACAAATCTTGCTGCAACGTTTGTTCTACAGAACACGAACCATGTAAAAAGATCATCATTAACAATGTCTCGAATGGTATTTAAGATGTGCTCTACCAGAGCGAAGAATCTTAAAAGAAAAATATTAGAATTGAAGCTCTCCTTTAACACAGAGAAAATATTACAATTTTGAAGGAGAAATCGAAGTCATTTTCTCAGTGATTAGTAACCTTAGAAAAAAAATAAATGAACACTTGGATAAAATTGAACAAAAGCAGAAGAATGAAGTCACCAAAACCAAACACAATATTTAGGCAAAGTTGAACTAAGAAGTCGCTTAACTATCTTGTATTAAAGAGTACCATTGAAAACTGGAATGCTGTTTTTGAGACTTGTAATTCCCATGGGTCTGCAATACAATACCACATGACTATGGAAGAGATTACCAGAAAATTATCAGAAGTAGAGGACAGAATTCCTAAAGTGTTCCATGAGACACGAAATACATCGGTTTCCTTTGAACCAAGAAACAGTATACATAAAGTAAAATTTTGGTAGGTGTTTAAAGTTACAAAGTCGATTAATTGGGTTATAATTGAAAAAAAATGCGAAAATTCAATTTTTATTCTGGAAAAATTTAAACGGTATTCAAAATGGAGGTTAATATAAATTCTGGAGGATTCCGCGCAATAAGTGGAATATTCTATCGTAATGACATTACTCTTACAGATAATATGTGGCGAAAAGGATAATCAAGCATGATGAAAACTGGAAGCAGAAAGAAGCTATGGTGGACCAACGGACATTACTAAAGTGAACGAAAATCAGGTCGAGTCACTTCAAACTCATATACAATTCATCTTATTAATACTGAGCCTCTAACAGCAATCAAAAACATAACGTTGAATGTCCCTGCATATGGCATATGTTTTGCCAACAAAGAATTCATAACCGTCTACCTAGGAGAACCTATTTGTTGGTGGTGTTCAGATATGGAAGTAAAGACCAAAGAATATAAAGGGAATATGAAAACCTATACTTATTTCATAACTTAACACAATGAAGACAATAATGACTTCTCGGATGTGTAATATTCAATAACTATGACAAACATGCCAGCTGATGTTTATTGAACAGGTTTCGAGTCGAAAAAATCGGTATAGGCTGTTCCCGCCAAAAGTCGATCCGGCCCCATAATAAAATAATGAATAATTTATATTAATATCGGAGGATTTGGCGACATATTTTAACAAGGGGGAAATGGAATGTGCACAAAATATCGATGTTTACTGACAGCAGGTAAGTGAAGTATGCCTAATATTGGAGGAACAATCAGATGATTTATTTTAAATCGATAGGAAAAGGAGTATGATTGGTACTGTTTTTAAAGCATCATCAGCATGTAAATTTTCTATAAAAACTTGGAATATCACGGGAAAAAATTGTTTTTACTTAACTCACACGTACATGCTGCCGAGGTCGAACATGTTGGTTACATACCACACAGTCAAGGAAAAGACATTATGATATTAAAAGAAAAACATTCTGTCTCCTCTTTTGTAGAAAGGATTTGGCAAATCAAACATTTCTCAATTTGAGAAGTTTTTATTATTTTGAACAAAAATAATTTGAAAGTTTGTATGCATCTATTTGGGGATTGGCTTATACAGCTGTGTATGTAACTATTTGTTATTACACAGGTTGAAAGAATTGATTAGATCACAGTCAATTGAAAAAAATGCTAATTACTACTGATCAACATGAATAATGTTGATGGTACTAAATTCTGTTATAAATCTTTTTTTATTATAATTATGCATACATATAAATATTTAAATATTCGTCAAGGACACACTTTCTTTCAGTCCACCTTTTATACTATTACAAAATTAATTAACATTTATGTATTTCAATTCATATACATAATTATATATACAGCACAAACAACATTTTCCAAAAGACCAAAAAAGTGAAAAAGTATATTTTAACAAAACGCATTTGACTAACAGGTCGAACAACAAACGTTCTAAACCCTGCTGACTGCCATTGGCGATTGCCAAATAAACGGATCACTGATGTAATAAATGGATCTTAATTATAAATTTAATACTAAACAGAAAACAATAAACTTGCGGAAAAGATGGTATACCGCAAACAAAAGGTGCAAAGGTTTTTGTACACCATATCCGGATTTCGACAATTAATGTCTCTTCAGTGATGTTAGGAATCGAAACGGTATTTGGAAAGCCATACAATTTACCTCAATTTAGGATAGACTCTTGAATATATATAAATTTATTGTTATTCCTTATAACTATTTATGGCCAGATCGACTTGGGGAAAATGAAAGCGAAAAATCTTCATCAACTTGCACCCAATAGAGATCTGGTTAGAGTAATACCTTAAACGGATATTGACAAGGTTATTTTCGACAATCCATGGGTGATCTGTTTTCAGCCTCAGCGTAACAGGTTATTTAAACTTTTTACCGAACTGGAAAAGTACTTGTATGCGAAATTGTCTATTTTAAACTGTTGAAGGCAGTTTTTAAGCTTATAAACCATGGATTTTAATAATTAAAATACTTAAAATCCTTGTACTAACTGAGCAATAAAAAAGTTAAACCAAATTCTTAAGAAAACTATGAATAAACAAGAATGTATCCATAGTACACGGATGCCCCACTCGCACTATCATTTTCTATGTTCAGTGGACCGTGAAATTGGGGTCAAAACTCTAATTTGGCATAAAAATTAGAAAGGTCATATCACAGGAAACATGTGTACTAAGTTTTAAGTTGATTGGACTTCAACTTCATCAAAAACTTCCTTGACCAAAAACTTTTACCTGAAGCAGGACAGACGGACGGACGAACGAACGGACGCACAGATCGAAAAACATAATGCCCCTCTACTATCGTAGGTGGGGCATAAAAATTTTCAAAATAATAAATGGTTAAGCATTTTATTTTCATTTCTTTTTTAGAAACTTGATGACATTTCATAGAAGTTTTGACAATGAAAGTTATGGATGTCTAAAATACTTAAACCTCAGGATGTATCTAAATCTAAACAATGCAATGGTAAGAACAGATTCTTCAGTTTCTTACAAAGGATTTCTCCTCTTTTTAACATGTTTTTACTACCCTTGATTGGTGTTGTTGTGTTGGAATGGAAGTCCCTGAGGGTATTATCTTCTCAGATGCTAGTTCTTTTGCACTAGTGTATTTCAATTGTTGTGAGAAATGTTGAGTTTGAAAAACAAACTTGTTTTCAGTATTCAGATGTAGTGTATCTGTAAGTAGCATGTTACCTGGCAGGCAATTGTCTTTGGGTCAAATCTTGGGTAGTCAATGCAAAATTAAGGTTGCAATTCCAATCAACATATTCTTTGAAATTCTTATTTGGCCATTTTTTGGAATTTTTGTTTGTTGTCCAAACTTTTGGTCAACCATTGCTGATGAAGGTTATTTCAGAAACTTTTGTCCTGTGCTTCGAAGTGGATATCATGTTTTACTCTTAGAAATAATGTTAGTCAAGGGACCAGCAGGTTACATACGCTATAAATTATTTAGTTGAAAAAGCTGCCTTAAAGATGATTGATACAAAATTGGCAGGTGAAAGTAAACAGCATGTGATGGAAGCCATGAAATGTGTACCTGTCATTAAGGAATGTTAACCTACATCAAATAAGATGGAAGAAATAGATAAGATTAAATGATATATATATATACATCAGACTGATACCAATATTGCCCAGTATTTCCTGCTTACAATTAGAGAAAAGAATGAATAACCATGTGTTAAATACCAGAAGGCAAGAATACATACATACGGTTACAATTGTTTTTTTAATTATTCTTTAGTTTGACACAGCTAGGGATTGAGGCCATGAAACTCCAGACTTTCAAGAACACCAATTGAATCCTATAGTAGATTGATTGATTTGTGTAATTAACATTGAGTCAAGAACACTTAACCAAGAGACCCTCAAGACAGTGTTGCAAAAAATATAATAATCAGATCGCCTTAGAAAGGAAAATGCCAATTAATCAGTCAAAGTAAAAGTTTCAAGAAAATCCAATATATAATAAAAGAAGAGTGTGTCTGAGAACGAGAATGTCCCTGCTCAAGCTTGCTCATACTACGTGAAAATACTTTTTGAGAGCATTTGATGTCACTGCTAGTTTTAAAAGAGATCTATTGTTTTGGTCTTAGGTATGTTAGTGCTGTGTTTTATTTTCATATTTTCACTGTTTTGTTTTGATTTTTTATGTAATAAGTTTTCTGATAATTTCTGTTGTGTCTAGTGAATTTTACAGTTCTTGAATAATGCTTTGGTTCTTTTGCACCTAATCTCTTTGTTAGCTTTACTTTTTCATTTAGTAGACTAAGCATTTATGACCTCAATAGTAGATAAGTGAAGATCTCTTTCAGCGAGTTTTGGTTCTTAGCATTGTGTATGAGTTTTATAAAATTTGCTTGTGGCAAACTTAAGGGTGGGGAAACGAAAAAAAATTTGCAGCCAAGCATTACATTTTGTAAGTATGAGTTTCATAAAATTTGCATGAGGAAAACACAAGTTAGAGTGTGGAAACAAAAATGGGATGGATGGTGAAGGGTAACGCTTAATGCCCCCTTTGCCTAGTGGCGGGGCATATAAAACCAATGGTTTTATTAAAATTCTTCATCTTGGCACATTTGTGTAAAATATATTACATGTCAAATAATGAATATATTAATAAGAATGAATTATCAGAGAAAGGTGTTTAAAAGGAAGATTATATCTATAATTATAGGGAGGATGAAGTAATACAAAAAACAAAAGATTAAATTTCTCTTTTATTTTATCATGTTTATAATAAAAAATAATAATACTGAATGTAGGACTTGACAGTCAAAAAACAATGCAAAAACTTAACAAATAATCAAAAGTATTGTAAAAATTAACAAAAATGCATCAGGTGTACATGGATAAAGCAAAATTCAATGAAAAATAAATATCACATTTTGAACATTAGTATCTAAATGATGAAAAGTAACATATTCCACGAATAATGCTTAAAGAATCATATTTCAATCTAGTTGATCTATTATTTTCCTTCATGGAACCATATTTAATCAACAATTTAATATATTTGCAACATACACTGACAAGCCAGTCGGCCATATTGGTTTACATAAACAATGAACCATTTTTCTGTTAGTTCTTTCCATTCAATGATTTTAGTAAAGATAAAAATGAACATGTGCATGCTATAAAAATATGTAAAATTGATACTTCATTAACTATTAATATAAATTACATTTTATACACATCATAAAGGAAATATAAAAACTTTTATATAATATCTCATAAATTTGAATAACAAATGTAAAGTATTGATATAAAATCACTTATAAACCATCAATATATAACAAGATAAATATTGCACTTCATTGTCTTAAATGATAAAAAAAAAAGGTTTTTACAAATTTAGCACCATAATATATTTAATAAGCACCCTTTTCTTATGACACATAATACAATGAACTGTACTGGAGTACTTTCTTTCAAGATTTAATAATGTTGATAGGAGCAAATATCTTTAATTTTTTTGAAAATTAAGAGTAAATGGACTTCTCAAAAAAAAAAGCCAAGCAGTTAAAACTGCTGAAATCTTTAAATTGACTGTCACAACTTAAAGTTAAGTGAAACATAAAGAATTCATGCAGATTTTTTTTTAATCTAAAAGAACTAAGTTGTTTTCCAATAAAAAAAAATCTTATACAAGTTCAAGAGAAAGTTTTTCAAAAGTTTGGCTCATTACTTTCAAGATAAAAGCTGATATTCTGTTTTGATAATTAAATTAAGTTATACATCCACTAAATTTTAAGAGTGTCTCTCCTGGTATCTTTGCTGTCATACACATTGTAAGGGACCTTCCTTAGTTGTAACCATTCTATAAAGTTTCTCAGGTCATGGAGCATTATTCTTTCCAGGACAAACTACAAACAGTGAATAAATCAATAAGCTGAATACACTTAAGAATAAGATATTCTAATTTTAGACATAAAACTAATATTCTAAACAGACTCATGTGTTTCTCTGAACCTTTTATTACAACAATGAACTGTATATCCATAAAAAAAAACATTGAGTACTTACAAAACTGTTGTTACCTTGTGAGATTGTGATAAGCCTGTAACAAGTTTATGGAACCTCATGATAGAATGAGCATCTTGGTCCTTAATTTCTTATAAGTTAGATATTGATATCAGATCTTTGAGATCTTGCTTTAATTCTTTACAACTATTATTGGGTTAAATTAGAGAGCTTGACAGACAAGGATATCTTTCTCAAAATAACATTTTACAAATTTAGTGTGTTTAAAGTGCTCTTTTTGACTTACCTTCATCAGGAACACTCACACCCCAAGATATGAAAGCCAATGAAGTACAAATACCTGAATCTCTGAGGAACCATAAACTGTCATCTGACCCTTAGTACCAAGAACTAGTCAGTGCCAGTCTTTGTTTTATCAGACAATTTATAAACATTTCAAACATAATAGAAAAAAAACAGCAATCTAACAATCCTATTTTGAAGTTCCTCAAACCCAGTTAGAAATGGTAGGCCTTATGTTTCTAGGTGCATGGTTATTCTAGAAATCCTAAGATTGAGAATGCTAACTTTTGGTAAGAATGATAGCAAATTATGAAGTTAGCTCCCTTAATTGTTAATTTCTCATGCATTTTAACCAAAGTATATCTTGAAATACCAGAACAGGAAAAGGAAAAGAATGTTATATTCATGCATCATTATACATTCTGAACTTAAATCAATGTAAACTTAAGGTTTTTTTTTATGTTTTCACCACTGTCTGATTTTTATGCAGATTGGCACTTAATTGTTAAACACCTTCAAATATGTAAAGTTTTATAGGTTAAAATATTTTTCTGTATTTTATACATACTTTAATGGCTGTTTGAAAAGCTACTGTACAAATCTCGTGGGCAGGCAGTGACATTACAATCAAACAAAGTTTTGCCTGAAATTAGTATAACAAAATAATATCTAGTATACACTTGATTTGTATTATAAAAGAAAATGGATTACAATTTTGTCCAAAAAATAATTCTTACACTAATTTGTCTATTTCAGGCTGCCTTCATCGAGAATTCTGTCCATCAAATGTCATTCATAATCTTACACCGTCTTGGAAACTGTTCTCTAATTTATTTTTTTGCACCTACAATATGTCATATTACACAGATGTTGATAAATTGTAAGATTACAAAATTAAGCAATGTTTTATAACTAAGGTTTAACTTCCTCAGTCAAAATTGACCTTCAATGTTGTTTTTTTTTGGCCATTTTAGCTTTGCCACTCTTTATAATCTTTATTTTACTTCAAAACATTACAATTTATCAACATCTATGTAATATGACTTATGGTCTGTGCTAAACATTAGTTCATCCATTAAATAATCAGAAGCTTTGTGCAGGGCGAGTGCCACTCTCTTATCGCATAAAGAATCCTTCTAACAACTCTCTGAGGAGTCTGTACGGGGCTTGTTGCAGTTGCAAGGCAAAAGTTTTGCCACTATCCCACAGTTATTCTCATTTTCTTGTGGAAGTCGCAATTCTTGCCTTTCATCACGGTTAACCAACTCAGCAGATGATAGAAGATTTTAACGACCTTGACTGGCTATACAGCCCTCACAAGGTCGGTAACTCAGCAGAACATACCTACTTTGTTGATAATTTGCTCTTGTCTTGAACATATATGAAATATTGGCCACTGGACATTTAGGAATCAATCTATTTCACCACTTGGAATCATTATGTATCTATAGTTATAATTCAATATAAATTGCCCCCCCCCCCCTTTTTTTTTTAAATCATTTATTTACCTTTCCTAAGTGAACAGATTTTCCATCCATCATAGAATGACGTCCCATTTTTTGGAATATTTCTTCTACGTCATTTCCTGAACCACACACCTTAATGGCTTTCTCTTTTAACTCTGAATACCTTAGTAAATAAACAAGAAATATTCCAAATAAATTTGTTTTCTGCCATTTGATTTGATTGGATAGCAAATTGTGCAATATTCCCTACTTTTGATAAGTTTGGCTAACATGGTACATAAAATTCTCAAATCTAGTGGATGTAAATGGGATGAAAATAAAGAATTTTTATGCAGTTGTCCAGTCCATATCATTGGTTACCCATATTAAAGATGCACATATCTTTAGTAGCACTAGCAAAATTAAAAGGGTCAATCAGCTACTTAGAAACCTTCTTATGTTCATCCCTGTGTAATTAAGAGTATACTTGTCAGGAACTGCCATACCGAATATTCAAATATGACATATCAAGTTCAAACAATCACAAATGAAGTACAAATAAAATCTTAATTTAAACAATTTTTAAAACATGCACATATTCCAGGAAAAGCGAAATTTTACCACAGAAGTGTTCATTTAACATCTTCTGATGCTTAGGCAATTTACTCCCTAGCTATAAATAATATTTTTCTTTTATGTATTTTTAGGCCACCTAAACTAGAGGCTCTAAAGAGCCTGTGTCGCTCACCTTGGTCTATGTGCATATTAAACAAAGGACACAGATGGATTCATAACAAAATTGTGCTTTGGTGACGGTGATGTGTTTGTAGATCTTACTTTACTGAAAATTCTTGCTGCTTACAATTATCTCTATCTATAATGAACTTGGCACAGTAGTTACAGTGGAAAATATTTTGTAAAAATTTACTATAAAGGACAATAACTCCTTAAGGGGTCAAATGACAATTTTGGTCATGTTGACTTATTTGTAGACCTTACTTTGCTGTACATTATTGCTGTTTACAGTTTATCTCTATCTATAATAATATTCAAGATAATAACCAAAAGCTGCAAAATTTTCTTAAAATTACCAATTCAGGGGCAGCGTGTTGCCTGATTGGTCTGAAAATTTCAGGGCAGATAGATCTTGACCTTATGAACAATTTTACCCCATGTCAGATTTGCTCTAAATGCTTTGGTTTCAGAGATATGAGCCAAAAACTGCATTTTACCCTATGTACTATTTTTTAGCCATGTCGGCCATCTTGATTCACGGGCGGGGTCATCGGACACATTTTTTAAACTAGATACCCTAATGATGATTGTGGACAAGTTTGGTTAAATTTGTCTTAGTAGTTTCAGAGGAGAAGATTTTTGTAAAAGATTACAAAAATTTACGAAAAATGGTTAAAAATTGACTATAACTTAGGACAATAACTCCTTCAAGGGGTCAACTGACCATTTTGGTCAAGTTGACTTCTGTGTAGATCTTACTTTGTTGAACATTATTGCTGTTTACAGTTTATCCCTATCTATAATAATATTCAAGATAATAACCAAAAATGGCAAAATTTCCTTAAAATTACCAATTCAGAGGCAGCAACCCAACAACGACTTGTCAGATTCATCTGAAAATTTCAGGACAGATAGATCTTGACCTGATAAACAATTTTACCCTATGTCAGATTTGCTCTAAATGCTTTGGTTTCAGAGATATAAGCCAAAATCTACATTTTACCCTTATGTTCTATTTTTAGCCATGGTGGCCATCTTGGTTAGTTGGCCGGGTCACGGGACACATTTTTTAAACTAGATACCCCAATGATGATTGTGGCCAAGTTTGGTTTAATTTGGCCAAGTAGTTTCAGAGGAGAAGATTTTTGTAAAAGTTAACGACGACGGACGCCAAGTGATGAGAAAAGCTCACTTGGCCCTTTGGGCCAGGTGAGCTAAAAAAACATATTGCATTTCATATTCAAACCTGAAAATTTGTATTAAAGCTCAATGCACTTTTTTCAACTGAGGAAACATATTTGTGTTATCTTGGGTCACTTAACATTTCATGTATATGTTTGATTTAACACTGTTTTAAGTCCAGCCATTTATGGTTCAGCACCTTTAAAGTCCAGAACATTTGCCCTATACAGTTTTTGTAAAATATATGGGGGGTGGGGGCATATAAAGAAGTTGTTATGGACAAATCTTGATTAACCATGACTGAAATCATTTATAGCAGAACAGAATCATCTCTGGAATAAGGAAATAAAGCATGTGATTTGTCATTAAAGTTTTTTCAATGTACAGACTTTATCGGAAAGTAATGTTGATTTATTTTTGTTGTCATGTTGCTGTCTCATTGATGTATACCCCAAATATCTTTTAAAATGAATCTGGTTTTGGAATATCTGAAAAAGAATCTTCACCTTTGCATCAGTAGCAAAAAAAAAGGTTTAATAGAGTTGCTTTAATTGAGTGATTTGTACTTTGTTGGATAGCTGTCTGATTGGCAATCATACCACATCTCCTTATTTTATATTAACTGGGAGGAGATGAAAAAGGCTGGTTAATGTTAATACCACAATCTTAAGTTTTTTCCTTCAGTTGCAAGATTTTCAAACAAACACAAGAGTGCACACGCTGAAATGTCTTGCCTGTTTTACTGACCATTGATTTTATGTTGAAAGTCTTAAAGATAAAGGTTTTACTACAAGTATCACTTAACATTTTTAAAGATCCATGACAATGAGGTCAAGGTCCGATAAAAACTGTCAGACAGACATGTACACCTTACAGTTATTCCAAACACCAAATATAGTTGACCCATTGCTTATGGTAATTAAAAAACAGACAAAAACACAAAAACTTAACATTAACCAATGAACCAAGAAAATGAGGTCAAGGTCAGATGATACTGACTAGACAGACATGTACACCTTACCATCATTCCATACACCAATTATGGTTGACCTATTGCTATAAGTATTTGAAAACCAAACCAAAACACAAAAATTAACATTGACTAATGAACCATGAAAATGAGGTCAAGGTCAGATGAGACCGACTAGACAGACATGTACACCTTACAATCATTCCATAAACCAAATATAGTTGACCTATTGCCTAATGTACACGAAAAACAGACCAAAACACAATAACTTAACACTGACCAATGAACCATGGAAATAATGACAAGGTCAGATGACACCAGCTAGACACCCCTGTACACCTAACAATCATTCCATACACCAAATATAGTTGACCTATTGCTTACAGTAATTGAATAACAAATCAAAACACAAAAAATTAACAGACCAATGAACCATGAAAAGGTCAGATAAAACCGTTAGTCTGACATGTACCCCTTACAATCATTCCATACACCACAGTATAGTTGACCTGCTGCTTGTAGTATCTGATAAAGGGGCCTAATCGTGTAACTTTAACCTTGATCACTGATCCATGAATTGAGGTGTAGGTCAGGTTAACCCTGTCTGACGGATATGTAGATGATGCAAGGAACCCATATATCAAATATAGTTATCCTATTACTAATAATAAGCGAGAAATTCACACAACAAAAAAACTGTAATTTTTTTTCAAGCAGTCGCTTTACCATGAAAATGAGCTCAAGGACAATGCGCATATGACAGACGGAAACTTTGTAACATAAATACAAGGTATGAAGCATGCAGGTCCTCTATCTTCTGAAATATAAAGCTTTATACAAATAGTTTACGCTGCTGCTGGATAGTAATACCTATGTTTCACAGGCCAGACAAAAATGAGTTTTTTTCTTTTTACTGCATTAAAAAAGATCTTGAGATATTATATTCTAAGATTTACTAATATGAATCTCAATTTATACTCACCATAAAGATGGCTTGATAAGTTCTCCTATATCTACACTATCATTTATTTTATTTCTTGCATGAGCAAGCTCCAGGCAGTGTTCATCAAACACTGAACTCATGTCACTAAACAGTCCATACTTATACTTAAATATTAACAGTCGTTCCCTGCAATAGACATAGTGGAAAGGTAAAGATTCAACCAGTTAAAATTTTAAAGGCTTCAATTATTTTAATGGTTAATGACTCCAAAAATGTTGTCTTAGAAAAGATATAATAAATAGTATTATTTCATATTCAATCTAAATAAGACTTTTTTATTGGTGCGAAGGTTGCAGTTGCATTCTGCAGAAAAAAAATCTAAAATACATACTCATAATTATAATGTTAATGTTAGCTTATGATTTTGGATTTTTCTTTAATTGTCTATTTGTATAAAAACTTTGATGATTCAGCATTTATATTTGTTAACACTAAAACTGTGTTAGACTTGATTATGTTTTGTTGTAGATGCAGAGAGCCTACCCCAATTTTTATAGTGTTGATACTGATAAAGTTTTCATCACATGCATTTTTTCTAAGATTATTGGATTTCTTCAAGGAGAAAAAAACACAACAGTTAGGCTTTGTCTTTGGATAGTAGTATTGACTTCAACATAGGTAATTCTATTACATGCAGTTTGGTACAGGATGTTTCTGTCAATACTTATGTCCCTTGGGCAGTCTATGTTTCAAGACAATGACCACCATAGTCTTGAACAAATTATTGTTGTGTGCCTATTTTGACTTTATATTTCATTAGTACAAAGCCAGGACCAAATAAAGAGCCTTTGTGAGCACGCTCACATACACCATGGCCTCATATTGTCACTGGGCAAAGAAAATCTCAACAGATTCGAAGTTCAAAGACTCACAACTCCTACAAAAGTCAATTGATAAAAATTTCTTGTCGAATTAAGTCCTTGTTATCAATAAAGTTTCATGAAATTCTGTGGTGGGATTTCAGTTCTAGAGGAGTTGACATGACAAACTGTTGAAGTATTTTATTTAGGCCAAAATTCTAAGTTCAAAAAGGCATAACTCCTAGAAAAAAAATTGAATCATAATTTCTTGTCGGAAAGTCAAAGGTAACACTTAATGCCCCCGTCGCCTACGGAGGGGGCATAAAAAATTGAATCATAATTCCCTGTCGATATGCACATTCACATAGTACATCTTTATTATTCACATAGTTGCATGAAATTCTGTTGTGTGGTTTTTCAGGAGGTGCGTAGCAAAGAACAGGACTAACGGACAGATAGGTCAAAAACATTATATTCTACTGAACTTTGTTCCATGGGTATAATTACCATCATTTATCAATCTATTCACTAAATTTTTAAAAGTTCTCAGTTTGCTAATTCATAAAAGCCAAAAGTATTCACCTGTTGACCTCTTACCTTTCCAGTTTCTGAACTTCTGCATCTGTTTCTTGTTTATGTTTATGTTTCAAATGAATAAACTTGGTCCTCATATTGGAGACGATATCTTCTGGCTCAACCTTTTCTTTTTTATCACTAGAACAAAAGAAAATCAAGTTAGCTGGATCATAATTTTAAGTTGTTGTCTGTTTGGTTGTGTAGATATTTTCACAGCGGAGTCTTTTGTTCATGGTTGGTGTTGGTTGTACAGATATTTACATGGAGGAGACTCTTGTTCATGGTTAGTGTTGGTTGTACAGATAATTACACGGAGGAGTCTCTTGTTCATGGTTGGTGTTGGTTGTACATATATATTAAAATGGAGGAGTCTCTTGTTCATGGTTGCTGTTGGTTGTACAGATATTTACATGGAGGAGTCTCTTTTTCATGGATGGGTGTTGGTTGTACACATATATTTAAAAGGAGGAGTCTCTTGTTCATGGTTGATGTTGGTTGTACAGATATTTACATGGAGGAGTCCCTTGTTCATGGTTGGTGTTGGTTGTAGATATGTTTACGGAGGAGTCTCTTGTTCATGGTTGGTGTTTTTTGTTCAGATATTTACACGGAGGGGTCTCTTGTTCATGGTTGGTGTTGGTTATACAGATATTTACATGGAGGAGTACCTTGTTCATGGTTGGTGTTGGTTGCACAGATATTTACACAGAGGAGTCTCTTGTTCATAGTTGGTGTTTGTTGTACAGATATTAACAAGGAGGAATCTCTTGTTCATGGTTGGTGTTTGATGTACAGATATTAACAAGGAGGAATCTCTTGTTCATGGTTGGTGTTGGCTGTACAGATATTTACACGGATGAGTCTCTTGTTCATGATTGGTGTTGGTTGTACAGATATTTACACAGAGGAGTCTCTTGTTCATGGTTGGTGGTCTAGTTCTGTTGCAATATTTTTTTGTGTTTCTTAATATCATTTTAATGTATTATTATGCACAAGTATTTACAGTGTGTGAATGCATTATCATCTACACTGAGTAAAATAAGTTTAGCATCAAATCTTTTTAATTTCATATTTCAAAAATAAAATAAGCAACAAATCTTTTTAATTTCATATTTCAAAAAAAAGATTAACTTCAAGTTATAAAAATGAATTATTGTTATAAAGAAATAAACATTACTTAACCTTAGGCTTTGTCTTGGAATAGAAACCATAAGAAACAATTATACTTGACAAAAGTTTATTAAAATACATGTTGCTAAACTTTTTTTACTCAGTGTATTTGTCCAATTGATTTGTTATTGTAAATTCAAAAATTAGTGATGTTTTTCTTCATGCAAATAATGCGACAGTATCATGTTCCCAATTATAAAAACTTGCATTCTTGATTTCAGCAATGATTTTCCTTCATTAAATTTGGGTAATCGCATTAACTAGATTTCACATTTTTGCCAGTTGAAAAGGATTTGCAATTATTAAATGCATGCATTAATTTCTGAATTTGCATAATTTCATACCTTTTAATTTCTTCATACAGATCCACTTTTTCTGCAGCTATTCTTTGCCAGACTGGAGTTTTCCGAATAGCAGGTAGTTTTTTGCTAGGATCATTGTGTAATAATCTAGCGATACTTTCTATTTTTGCTGTACTATTTTGTACCTCTGGTGATTTGCTCTCAGTACCGGTTTTTGTTAAAGATGGACTGCCAACATTGGTTGATTCACTTATTTTCCTAAAAATTAAAAAATATAAGGGTCTTCCAAGAGTGTCAGTTGTCATCTCTAAATTATATAGGCAGAAATGGCAATGTCAATGTTTTGGTATGGGAAACACAAAATTTAAAATATTAGTTACACAATTTCATGCCTGGGCTGTTCCAGAATTAAAAGCATGGGGGCATGAGAGGCACTTCTTTAAGGCCCTGACCTAACATGAAAGAAAAATTTTCATTTGACTTATAATTCTTAGAAATTGAAGGTAAATGCAACTACTCATATTGAATAAATATGAGTGCCTCCCATACCCCTCACCTAATTAATTTTGTTACAGCCCTCCTGGAAATGAATCAGCAAGTTGGTTGAAATTCTATTGAGTCATTTTCAAGGCTGTGCAGATTTACATAATAAGACAATTCAAAAGGCACTTTAGCAAGGCAGCTTAAGTAATCCCTACATATTTGCTGTCAGGCAACACGATAATGCTATCAGTTGCCAAAATTTATTAAGCAATGGAAAGAAAAGCCTGTCTAATTGAGATTATAGCATGGTGAGAGAAAAACTACATAGCGTTTTAACTTGGTAATAGATTTACTGAAAGCTTATCAAACTACTGTGGATTCATCATTAATCATTAGGTCAAAAACAAAATCTAGATTGTTTGATGTTGCCTACCTACCCACTAGTACTAAAATTAGTAAAAAACATCCTACTCGAAAAAATTTAATGACACAAATTGTCTGTAATTTGTTTTAATGATTTTTTCCCGCTCTAACGTAGTTTTCTTGTCTAAAACATGTAACTTTTGCTGTAGGCTAAAAAAAAAAAAAACAAACCCTACCTACCTACCCAACCCTAGAAGGCATGGGTAGGCAACATCAAACAAAGAATTTCATAAGGGTGGCCTTGGATACCAATCTTTGTAGACTTTAGGGGTATAGAATATAAATCATAAATTTTAATATTCAGCAAAGTACAAACTTTTTTTATAGGCTTGTATGCAGACTTTGGCAAAACACAAAATCCAATTTCCACTTAAAAATTAACTTATAACTCAATGAATGAAAATTGTTATCCATGAAATTAAACGTATTCACATAAAAAATAAAGACAAGCTTAAAAAGTCTTTTGCCAACAAAATCCATTGGATGTGTACTGATTGGTACTTTAGTATGGGAGAACATGATTTATTCATTAGTTGTCATTGGCTTTGAACTAGCTTTCAGTAACTGCAAGTACTCTTATTTCGGTGGTTTGTGTCTATTGTTTTCATGTTTATAGTTGCTTTTTGTGCCTCGTACCAATCTTTTGAATTGTTAAGCCAATTGAAATTGAATTTAAGTTTGTTCTTTTGTTGTGCTGTTACATCACTGTCCCAGGTTAGGGAGGGTTGATCACTCAAAAACTATGTTTATCAACGCCACATTCTTTATGTGCCTGTCCTGAGTCAGGGGCCTGTAGTTAAGTGGATGTCTGGTTCTTGTGTCATATTTGTTCTTAGTAAATTAAATTGTAATAAATTAGGCCATTAGTTTTCTCATTTGAATTGTTTCATACTTTTCATGTAGTACGTACGTAGCCTTTTATAACTGACTATATGCTATGGGTTTTTCTCATTGTTGAAGGCTGTACGGTTGCCTTTATTTGCTTACATCCACTTCATTTTAACTCTGGTTGATCAGTTGATAGTTGTCTCAGTGGCAATCATCAATTGCTCACATTGTTGTCAATACAATGGAATTTTATGCGACTGTCGTACAAGTGAGAGGTTTTGCTAGCTATAAAACCAGGTTTAATCCGCCATTTTCTACATAAGGAAATGCCTGTACCAAGTCAGGAATATGACAGTTGTTTTCCATTCGTTTGATGTGTTTGAGCTTTTGATTTTGCCAATTTATAAGGGACTTTCCGATTTGAATTTTCCTTGGATTTAGGTATTTTTGTTATTTTACCATTTACTGGTATTTGTCAATGACATATAAACAGCTATCTTGGGAACAAGTATAAGAAGCAGCAAAATGTTTTTTCATTAGGTAAATCATAAAAAAACTAATCCATATATCCTTACTTGTGCCACTGAACTGCCTTGACAAGGCTCATAACTCCGGTGGCAAATGACCTCTTCTTTTTTCTCTCTGGCATAGGAGTGTGTGGATCAACTGCCAGAAAGTCTTCCCATGATTCCAATTTTAACTCATATTCCTTTTGCTTTGGCTTCAACAGTTGACTGAAAAAAAAAAAAGATTTAAATGTTGTTCCATGACATTTAGCATAAAGATAATTGATTGATTGATTAATGACAGTTTAATGTCATATCAACACACATGGTCATTGTCACAGCTAGAACAATTATTGTCAAAAACATAATCAAAAATAGGCAAAGGAGCCAGCATGCACATGTATCAAATAGCAATTTAGTAGAAAAAAGAACCAAAGGATCAATTGGGAGTTTTGTAAAAAATATTTGAAATCTAATTATTACTATTGAAATATTTTTTTTGCTTATCTACACAATATACACATTCTTTTCAAACATGTAAGACTGTATACTTGAAATTGCAAGGTATACAACTGCGAAAGAATTTATACCAAGACAATTTTTTTTTATTAGAAAGAAATTATTATTTCCTCATGGTCCTATAAATTCAACCGCCTTGCCTTAAGTGTGAGAGGTTATGGGTTTGCTCCCTGACTGGGTCAAACCAAACATTAAAATTGGTACTAACTGCTTCTCCACTCGCAGCGCTGGGTCAAGTACAAAGCAGGGTTCATGTTCATATTGCTTAAACATGTTCTTGTACTAAATATGAATTTAATTATCAACTGGACGTCAAACAGCCCTGCATCACCATCATCGTCCTATCAAATTGTTTTTATGATTCTATGATGGACGTGTTTAGTTAAGTACTCTTAAAGGCTAGAACATTTCCCTCTATAAACATTGTAAAATATCAAACAAATAAAATCAATTTATCTACCTACCTGACATATTTTTTTTAGGCTTACCTAAATTTGTTCGATGTAAGTTTTGATGGAAGCATAGCAACATGTTCAAACAGATTTGATTGTTTTTTTTTGGCGAACAGTCCTGAAAAACCACCAACTTTACTCTCTGATGGCACTGTGATAATTGAAGCATTCTTAGTTGGCCTGGACAGTCGACTCAGCCTGCAAAGTAACAATTAATTGTTAATTGAAGCATTCTTAATTGGCCTGGACATTTTACTCAGCTTGCAAAGTAACAATTAATTGTTAATTGAAGCATTCTTAATTTGCTGGACAGTCAACTCATATCTGCAAAGTAACAATTAATTGTTAATTGAAGCATTCTTAATTGGCCTTGACAGTCGACTCAGCCTGCAAAGTAACAATTAATTGTTAACTGAAGCATTCTTAATTGGCTGGACAGTCAACTCACATCTGCAAAGTAACAATTAATTGTTAATTGAAGCATTCTTAATTGACCTGGACAGTCAACTCACATCTGCAAAGTAACAATTAATTGTTAATTGAAGCATTCTTAATTGGCCTGGACAGTCAACTCACATCTGCAAAATAACAACTAATTACTCTTAATTCAGAAATTATTGTGTGCATTTATTATTTTATTTAATAATGGACTTAAATACATGATTAACTATTGCAATTTCAGGAAAATCAACATACAAATGTATATATCAGATATCAGAATGCGAGTTCTTAATATTGCAATACTTACCCAGTCGCATTATTTGCATTAATGAAAACCTCACAATAATTTCAGAATTTACAGTAATGGAATATTAAAAGAAAAAAATCCCTAGATGGAGTTTTGTCCCTTTTGATAAAAAATACAACTGAATTTGGAATCATTTGAAGTATAATTTTCTAGTTTCTGCAGTATTTTTTGGCAGAAGAAATGACTTCACTGGTAAACCGTGAATTAAAATAAACTTATTTTCATAGCAAGAAATTAGAATTTCTGTTAGTGATATCGTGGCACAAATACAAATCATCATTTGTTTTATGTTCAATGAAGACATAAATGGCACCACAGGTCTGCTATCTGCTAAGTTTGAAATAAAACATTCCTGTAGAAGGTCTTTTAACAATAATTTTAACTCAAGTATATTTTTTAAAGATTTGCACATAAGTAATACTTATATAGACAAACATATTACTGTTTCTTCCATCCTACATTTTTGTTACACAGAAATAATCCTTTAATTTCTTACATATTTCCATCAGCTGGTGTTTGTGGTATAAAGACTGTATCCTTTCTCAACTGCTTCAGATGATCAAATGATAAAGGGGTCTGAAAAAAGATACAATATCAATAAAAAATAAGTCATGTTAAAATTGAAAAGGACAATTTAGATTACAAAGTGATAAAGGTGCTTAAAAAATTTAATTAAGAAAAAAATCCATGGAAATCAGTGGTTGACCTTGGTTGCTGTCTTGTTGTGTTTGTTTTTTGATTGAATTATTTCACATTTTGTCATGTCCTGGCCTATAATCATCATAATGCCTTAAATCCACATCATTTGGATAATGCTGGATAGTTGTCTCATTGACAATCATATCACATCTCCTTATTTTATATAAATCATTTACAACCTCTTGACGGGAACCCCAAAATGCAAGCTATATAATCATGTGAAAATGAAGCAAAGGAGTAGGCCCGGTAAGACCCCTTTTTGGACCCAAAATATTGCATTTAAAAAAACTGTTAAAAATGTAAACTTTAAGCTATATATTGGAAATTTAAATACTTTTGTTACATAAATATGGGTTATTTTGACAATACAATGGACATGCATCAGGTACTAGCATCATTAATTCATGCAAAATTACTGAAATCTTCACATTTTTAGCATTTGTGCTTATTTTTAAGACAGTTTTTGTTTAAAGTGGAAGTGGCCGCACTTGTGTTCAGTCTTCATATTTAAATATGTGTTGTATTTGATGATGATGCATAACATATATAAAGGTTGAGACTGAACACGAATGCAGCCACTTCCATTTTTGACAAAAACCATTTGAAAAGTGACGTTTTGTGGCACATTTGATAGATTTTTCAGATTTAAGCTTGAATTTAGGCGTCTTTAATGACTAAATCAGTTCAAATCTTTTACAAAAACTAATTGAATCGACTGAAGAAGACACTTAAGCATTAAAAAAAATGTCAAAAATCTTTCATCAGATGTACTTCAAATTTTAGGCCAAAATAAGCCCTTACCAGACCTTCTCCTTTCAATGACAACAATTAGGTCTACAACAATGTCAACAAGAACTAATCTTATATAGAAAGATAAATATTATTCAGTTCAAAAACAGATGTGGATCTAGAATTTGAAAAAAGGGGGACCCACAAAGGAAACATTAGGAGTGGGACTTGTAAACATGGTAACATATGTCTATACATTAAAACGTATATATGTAGCTCCTTAAGGGACCCCTTAAATCCACCTCTGAAGAATGCTGATGGTTGAGAAGGTTGCCTGTTATGTATGAAATTTTCCAAGACCAATCGGTGGCTGTAATAATGTCAAAATTAAGTCAATGGGAACAATACATATGAATTATACTTTTAACTACTAATCGTACCACAAATATTAGCCAAATTTCTACAAAATGACATAACTAAGGAAGTGTAAATAGCCACTTTTAACATTCACACTTGGATTTTTGTTTATCCTTTTGAGTTTTATTTATGAATGCCAGATGTAGCTCATTTTGAACATGATTACACTACTGACCTTTGACTTTAAATCCTTTGTTTTCATATTACATAGACTATTAATAACAATATTCACTGCCTCAATGTATTCCATGTGTATTCTCTTCATTCTCTCTTTACGTTCCCTAAATAAAACAAAAGTCAACTTCAGGACCAGAGAAAACTGACCTTATAAGAGATGTGACCTTTAAATTTAGTGAGACAAGAAGAGGCTGACCTGAAAGTTTTTGCTTTATAATAGACGTGACCTTCATAGTACAGGTTAGACTGTACATAGAATTTGGGAGCATAAATTACTCTTTAGTTTCAATAATATGTCAATATATTGAAAGCAGACATTATTGTTTAGGGGCCAGCTGAAGCCCGCCTCCAGGTGTAAGATTTTCCTGCTGCATTGAAGACTCACTAGAGGCCTTGGGCCTCTTTTTGCTCTTTGATCGGGTTGTTGTCTCTTTGATACATTCCCCATTTCCCTTCTCAATTCTACAAAGTTAGATCTTTGGATGTGTCTGTTTACTATACTCTGAAAATATTCATAATACAAAGTGCTCTAAGTTTTTATCCTTGAGTTCTGAGATGTTTTTGGGGTAATTACAGGTAAACCGTGACTGTGTCTGCCAAAAAATACTGCAGGAACTAGAAAATTATAATTCAAATGATTCCAAATAGAGTTGTATTTTTCATTAAAAGAGACAAAACTTTTTTTAGGGAACAGCATGATCTCCCATTTCTCTTTAGTATTTTACTAAATAGTATTCACCACTGCTTTGGCATGAAACATTGTCACTTGGTCAAAGTTGACCTGTAATTACCCAAAAAACTCAGAAGGATAAAAACTAATAATAATTTACAGACGAAACTTACTTCGCAGCAGCTTGTTGGTCCATTACAGCCATTACTGAAGTTGTTGATCGTAGATAAACAGACATTTTACGATTTTCTATCATAGTCATTTTTGAACTCCCAGGATTGGCAGATCCTGTTTTTTGCACTGAAGGAACATCTTGAATAATTGATGGATTAATTTGTGGAGACTGAAGTTGAATAATGTTAGTACCATCCTTCCTGTTTTTTTCCATACTGGTTGGTGTGTTAGTTTTTACCTCAAGGTTTTTCTTGTTGGTAACAAAACTTATCATAGAACTTTTACCAAACACTGGCGTCAGCAAAGACTGCAGTTCTGTGTCTGAAATTTCTACTGGAAGTTCCATTAAGGGATCTGACAACGGTAGAACAGGAAGGACCATTTCATTCTTTTTAGTTGACTTAACCTTATTGGCTTTAATGTCCTTTAAAGAAAAATAATGCTTAAATTTATCAGAATTCGGTTTTATAATCATGTGGCCAAAATCTTCCTCTTACAAATGTTTAAAAAAAAATTGTAAGGGTTCCGCGGAACCCAGTGTCTCGCCTACTTTTGCTGTTAGTCGCAACCTCAACAAAAATGGGGAAAAAATTTTCCTCAATCTTTTGATTGTAAGTAGCTTCTGTCCAAGTTTGGTAAAAATCCAGGATGGTTTATGAATCTAATAAATGTTTTAAAAACTTTAACTGCAGACTGTATGTAATGTTAACTGGAAGAAAAACTAAGTCCATTTATAAGTAATATACGGAAAAACAGAAAATAAATTTCCTTCTAGATACTAGCTTTTGATCATAAACAAGCTTCTGTCCAAATTTGGTAAACATCCAGGATAGTTTAAGAAAGTTATTAAAATTTTTAAAACATTAACCACAGAGTGAATGTAATGTTAACTGGCAGAAAAACTAAGTCCATTTATAAGTAAAATACGGATAAAAATAATTTTTTTTTTAACAAAAATTAATTCTGGATACTATCTTATGATCATAAACTAGCTTTTGTCCAAGTTTGGTAGAAATCCAGGATAGTTTAAAATTTAAAAAACTTTAACCAGAGTGAATATTTGTGGACCCAGGGTCAGAACAATCGAAATAAAATTTCAGACTTTTTCAAGTTTTCAAGGTAGGTTGGGAACTGACACAAAGCCTGATTTCAAACATGCTTGTTCACAAGGTAAGAGTGTACTGGAATATTTCACTCTACCTGGGCACATTTTAACTTTGCTAAATGTCAGGGAATATGCTTACAATAGGCAAAGTTATTCCTGTAAGTCTGTAAGAATTATAGTCTCATTTCAAAATATCTCTCAATAATTGACCTTAAGATCATCCATTCTATAAATAAAATCACTTTTGACGTCTCATTTTATTTCTTTACCCTCTGGAGGTTGATGCTGACATGTATAAGTTACTGTAGACCAAATGAACAATGAGCCTCAATTTTCACTTATGCAGTTAACAGAGGCCATGAAAATCAGATTAACAATCAAGATTTCCAATTATTTCTGATATTTTGGAAAGTATGCCGATTTTTTCAACAAGAATTAGTTGTTCCAAAATGAAAATTCAATATCAACAAATTTAATAAAATGTTTTATATCTATTAAGTATAGATTGTGTTGTTTTTTTTTTTTTTAACAAACTACACCTCTGTATTCATGGTATTGTATGCCATATTGGAAAATGAACCAATTTTGTAAGTGACACAGTAAAAACTTCAAAAGACTGCCCTTCTAGCCAATACACCTTACTGCTATGTCTTTAAAGCCTGATAAGTTCTGAAATTATACGTCACAGTCCAGTTTAAGCTATCTGGGGCCCTGTTTAATAAATGTATTGTGCATAAAACTTTTTAAATAGACATGTTTAAACCATAGTAAACACTTCAAACAAAGGAAGTTGTCTCAGTGACTGTTTTATCTGAATTGGACTACATAGCAATAAGGTGTATAAACATACCTGTAGATGTCTAATGAAGTTTTCAAATGACTGTCCTGCTAGTACATATTTCTTGCCTACACACATACCTGTAGATGTTTAATGAAGTTTTCGAATGACTGTCCTGCTAGTACATATTTCTTGCCTACACACATACCTGTAGATGTTTAATGAAGTTTTCGAATGGCTGTCCTGCTAGTACATATTTCTTGCCTACACACATACCTGTAGACGTCTAATGAAGTTTTCGAATGACTGTCCTGCTAGTACATATTTCTTGCCTACACACATACCTGTAGATGTTTAATGAAGTTTTCGAATGACTGTCCTGCTAGTACATATTTCTTGGCTTTTTGAAGGTCATACAGCTGATCCTTTATGGTACTGATTCCACCATCTGATTGTTTATTTTCAAGTAACTGACATTCTGACTTTGTCGGAGATTTAGCTCTCTGTGAAAATAACCAAAAACACTTTTTTTTCTTATTAATTAAAAATACATGTTTGAAAGAAAACTGCTTATAGCATTTGAGATAATCTAGATGCTCAAGTATGTGAAGTTAAAGAGTAAATTCTGTATGTAGTTCAATAGATTTTGTAATTTAGACGGCAATGTCTATAACAAATATGTCTCTCTCAAATGAAGAAGTTTCCGCAGATAAGATTGTTGATTGATTGGTGTTTGCTTTAAGCCATCTCAGCACAAAAAGGCTATATCGCGGGGAGTATTGTTGATTGAATGACGGTGTGTAAACTTTGAACATACTTGGCTATAGCATGGTGGTCAGTTTTTAAAAATATTGGTTGAGACAGACCCAGCCACCTTTGGAAAGAAAACATTTATTTCTATAAAGTTAAATAATAATTAAGATATAACTGTATTGTATTTAAAGCTTTGCGGAAGTCCATCGGTAGTTTTACTGTCGCAAGTTTAGTTTACCTGGGGACGCGTAGCGGAGACAGGTAAACGGGTATTTGCGACAGTAAAACTACTGATGGACGTCCGTAAAACTTCAAATACAATACAGTTATCTCTATTCTAATGCAAAACAAGTACATAATTCAATTTCAATCATTATTTCAGTGTAAAATTTTCATTAAAGAAAATTCCGTGAAAAGATGTTATCTTCTTTGGCCCCTTAACTAGGTGACGTCATAGGTATGCTTCTGGCGTCAAACGTAAACACCAGGCGTTTTCTGGCTTCTTGACCGCTTCAGAATGTAATAAAATTTGATAAAAAGAAGATTTCTAGGTGTAGCATGTGAGTTTTTTGCTTATTATTGTAGAAATTACATGTCAATACATTCCGCAATTCAAAATGTCGGCTTCCTTATTAATTAGTTACAGACAAGGAGATAGAGAATTTCACGCTTACTGTCATCCAATCAGAACCATTGATACAAAATAATTGCATTAGAAATGACATTTTAAAGGAATTTTTAAAATTTGTTTAATTTTAAATTATCCATTTTTTTTTCTTCAGAAATGATGGCAGCCATGGTAGATGTGGGCTTGGCAAATTACAAAAAGGCATCATAAATGTATCATTTCTCGAAATTGGATTCTAAATCTTATTCCATCCCAGTCATTCCCAAGGTCGCTGGACATTTGGCAAAGACCAGTAAAAATTGGTTTGGTCCAGTTAAGTGATATGCGTTACTGGACCAAATGACCAGTAAAATTTTTAATTTTGTCCAAATCATATGTGTAAATGTCCTGTAATAAAGAATCTGGTCCAGTTAAGAAGAATAGATAACTGGACCAAATGTCCAATTGATTTCTCAAAGCCTTGGAAACCACTGCCATCCAGTGCTCTTCTTTATCTTCTTGCATGGAAGGCAAATCAATTATCAGTGGAGTTGTTATATTTAATTTTAAAAGTATAAATTGGAAGGATGATTTAGAACACTCAGCTGCTTTGGTTAAAATTGGTACAGTTCCTTCAAGTTCTTTTTATGAAATAAAAATAAAATGCAATTTCAATTTTCTACCAAATTAATAAAGGAAAATAGGCAAACGTTAAATTTTTTTTCATTGAAAACTTATTACATGTGTGAGCAACAAGACCTTGTATAACAAAGAAATTTTGAACTTGAATAGTTACAACTTTAAACCCTGCACTCTTGTGTTTCAAAAGACGTAAATGGATTCTGAATGTTAATTTAAATACTTTATAAAAAATGCTTTACAAAAATCTTCACTCACTCACATGTTCAAGCATTAAAATGAAACACTTTTCATTTTGAAATAAGATTTTATATTTGGGGACATTCTCCTTTTGAATGGTCATATTGTTTACCTTTTCATTGGATATTGGGGGAAGTAAACTTTGTCTTCTTTTCCTTTGAGGTGTTCGTCTTGATTTAGTAGCGGTTCCTTGTCTTGATCTAGCTTCCCAAACCTGTAAAACAGTAATACATGCTTAGATGCTAAGTGTTGGACACTTGCCTGATTTTTGGTGGCCATATCATTATTTTGGAGGTAGAGTTATCTCTCTTGTTCCTTTCAGATTTTGTTTTATACTTATATATATAATTAATAAAGTCGTCTTTTCTTAGATTTCTTTTGACTACATTTCTCTTATAGAGTTTATATATACATTTATATATATATAGTTGTCTTTACTATTCCTAAAATTATAATTTACTATTTTGAAGCCTCCAGAAAGAAAATGTTGGTTTCCCCAAACACAAGAAAATTCTAAAGGGTTGGTAGGCAGGAAAAACTTTTTATTTTATTTTATCAAACAAGGCACATGCAGTTTCACTCTACAGCCACAAGGAATTCTTAAACAACTGACATGAAATTTTTGAATCCCCCCGAATTATCAGACCATTAAAGTTTCATTGATAATTGCCTGAAAAAAGAGTCTTGCTGTTGTTCTATCATTTGTTCAAAAAAGAATTTGCATTTCAGAATCTAATGCATTCTGGGTAATATTTTCAAAAGTGTACACCAAAACATTGTGTCAAAAACTTTCTAAACAATGGAAATTTAACCAATGATGTGATGTTATTTTCACTTTGGGGTATGAACAATGAAATTACCCACAATCCTTTAGATTCTGAAACAGCCAATTGACCCAGAGAATAAAAACAGACCTTCAAGGGTTAGAGGAAACCAACAATTTTTATTGCATAGCCTTACACTTGATCTCCTGAACACATCAATTATATTACCTTCACATCTAAATTTTTTGAAATTGTCTTCAACACAAGGTCAAAGGGATCAAGGTCAAACTGACCACCAATATTTCTGTAGGGTTCATTTGGAAGACTATAGTAGCCACACTTCATGTGATGGTCTCTTCGATCATAATTTTCCTGCCAAGTACTTTCTGGTCTCTCGTGTAACAAAGTTTGACTGGTCTTCTGACACACCTTCTGATATCTGTATGGTGGTGCTTAAATAAAAAATTATCATGGTTAACTCACCCATTACATAATTAAGTAAGTAATTTGAAATGAATTCAAAACCATAGGAATGGATAGATGAAAATGTGCCAGTTACCATGGGTACCTTGAATGGCATACCTACAAAACTATCTTTTATGACTACAGGCTATTTGCTGCTGAAAAACAATTTTCTCTGTTGTGTCTTGTTTGATAAGGCATACAAAAATAATAACCTGCATTCTCATAACTGTTGCAGTTGTATATTTAGTCCAAAATTCTAAGTTCAAAGGGGCATAACTCATAGAAAACAAGAATGTGTCCATAGTACACGGATGCCCCACTTGCACTATCATTTTCTTTTTCTATGTTCAGTGGACCGTGAAATTGGGGTCAAAACTCTTAATTTGGTATTAAAATAAGAAAGATCATATCATAGGGAACATGTGTACTAAGTTTCACGTTGATTGGACTTCAATCAAAAACTACCATTCAAAAACTTTAACCAGAAGCGGGACAGACGGATGAACAGACGCACAAACCGAAAAACATAATGCCATTCTACTATCGAAGGTGGGGCATAAAAATAAAATCATAATTTCCTGTTGATATGTACATCTGCATAGTATGTTCTTATTATCTACAAAGTTTCATGAAATTCTGTTGTGTGGTTTTGGCGAAGTTGCAATGACAAGAACAGAACTGACAGACTGACTGACAGGTCAAAAACATTATACCCTACACAAATTTCAATGACAAGAACAGGACTGACAGACAGACTAAAAACATTATAACCCAATATTATCTACAAAGTTTTATTGAATTCTGTTATGCGGTTTCGGAGGAGTTGCAATGACGGACGTATGGACTGACAGATAGGCCAAAAACTGTATACCCTACACAACTTTCGATAACATGAATAGGACTGACAGACAGACCAAAAACATTATACCCTTAATTGGTAGTAATTGGTTATAAACTCAAAAATTTAGGCTATATGAAAAATTCATCTTTAATTTTTTTTTTGTACTAGTGTTCATATATAACCAAGGGAATTTTTCATTTTTAAACCGTATTTCTTTTTAATTTTTCAAATTAACATGTTTTTCCTTCCTCCAATTAAGACCCCCCAAAAAATATGCGTGATTAGGGTTTCCAGACCGACCCTTATTTTGGATGCCAACCAAAACGTTTTTATGATGATTTCTTTAATTACGTTTTATTAAGATAGTAGTTGCTGCAACCGCTGGCTTATTTCATCAAAATACTAGTCAGAAAGCAAACATGTTAAAACTACAAGTCTGTTCATTGACAAACTACAAATGGCACAATTACCAGTTTGCGTATGTTATTACCAAAACTGGACTGTGATTTTCTGGATTTCATGCAACCAAAAAATTAAAAAAAATTATTACAGACTAACCAACCCTATGTTTTTTTGGAATGAAACTCTAGATAAGCAACCATATTTTTTTTTTGGCCTAATCTATATTAGCCATGAATAGCTGTAGATTTGTTAAAGCATAGTTCTCGAAATCATTTTCCCCCTGGCTGTCCTTGAAAAGAAATTTTGCTGGTCCTCACTATTCATGCTATTATTTCTATTGTAAAATACATTATGATGAAGACATAATCTTTCAATCAGTTTAATTGAAGTCTGGAGCTGGCATGTCAGTTAACTGCTAGTAGTCTGTTGTTATTTATGTATTATTGTCATTTTGTTTATTTTCTTTGGTTACATCTTCTGACATCAGACTCGGACTTCTCTTGAACTGAATTTTAATGTGCGTATTGTTATGCGTTTACTTTTCTACATTGGCTAGAGGTATAGGGGGAGGGTTGAGATCTCATAAACATGTTTAACCCCGCCGCATTTTTGCGCCTGTCCCAAGTCAGGAGCCTCTAGCCTTTGTTAGTCTTGTATTATTTTTAATTTTAGTTTCTTGTGTACAATTTGGAGTTTAGTATGGCGTTCATTATCACTGAACTAGTATATATATTTGTTTAGGGGCCAGCTGAAGGACGCCTCCGGGTGCGGGAATTTCTCGCTGCATTGAAGACCTGTTGGTGACCTTCTGCTGTTGTCTGTTCTATGGTCGGGTTGTTGTCTCTTTGACACATTCCCCATTTCCATTCTCAATTTTATTGTACCAAAATTGTGTTGGTCCTTTGCAAACTTTTGGTGGTCGAACACTTTTGGGGAACCCTGTTTAAGATCTTTACTGGACATTTCACAGAATGCACTTATCAGATAATTTTATGAACTCAAGTATATATATATATGCTAGAAAGTGTACAAAACAACACCAATATTAAAACTAGAGGCTCTAAAGAGCCTGTGTCGCTCACCTTGGTCTATGTGCATATTAAACAAAGGACACAGATGGATTCATGACAAAATTGTGTTTTGGTGATGGTGATGTGTTTGTAGATCTTACTTTACTGAATATCTTGCTGCTTAAAATTATCTCTATCTATAATGAACTTGGCCCACTAGTTACAGTGGAAAATATTTTGTAAAAATTTACAAAAATTTACAAAATTTATGAAAATTGTAAAAAATTGACTATAAAGGGCAATAACTCCTTGAGGGGTCAATTGACAATTTTGGTCATTTGACTTATTTGTAGATCTTACTTTGCTGTACATTATTGCTGTTTACAGTTTATCTCTATCTATAATCATATTCAAGATAATAACCAAAAGCTGCAAAATTTCCTTAAAATTACCAATTCAGGGGCAGCAACCCAACAACGTGTTACTTGAATGGGATACCTACGAAACTATCTTTTATGACTACAGGCAATTTTCTGCTGAAAAACAATTTTCTCTGTTGTGTCTTGTTTGATAAGGCATACAAAAATAATAACCTGCGTTCTCATAACTGTTGCAGTTGTATATTTGGTCCAAAATTCTAAGTTCAAAGGGGCATAACTCATAGAAAACAAGAATGTGTCCATAGTACATGGATGCCCCACATGCACTATCATTTTCTATGTTCAGTGGACCGTGAAATTGGGGTCAAAACTCTAATTTGGTATTAAAATAAGAAAGATCATATCATAGGGAACATGTGTACTAAGTTTCAAGTTGATTGGACTTCAACTTCATCAAAAACTACCATTCAAAAACTTTAAGCTGAAGCGGGACAGACCGACGAACAGACGCACAAACCGAAAAACATAATGCCATTCTACTATCGAAGGTGGGGCATAAAAAATAAAATCATAATTTCCTGTTGATATGTACATCTGCATAGTATGTTCTTATTATCTACAAAGTTTCATGAAATTCTGTTGTGTGGTTTTGGCGAAGTTGCAATGACAAGAACAGAACTGACAGACTGACTGACAGGTCAAAAACATTATACCCTACACAAATTTCAATGACAAGAACAGAACTGACAGACTGACTGACAGGTCAAAAACATTATACCCTACACAAATTTCAATGACAAGAACAGGACTGACAGACAGACTAAAAACATTATAACCCAATATTATCTACAAAGTTTTATTAAATTCTGTTATGCGGTTTCGGAGGAGTTGCAATGACGGACGTATGGACTGACAGATAGGCCAAAAACTGTATACCCTACACAACTTTCGATAACATGAATAGGACTGACAGACAGACCAAAAACATTATACCCTTAATTGGTAGTAATTGGTTAAAGACTCAAAAATTTAGGCTATATGAAAAATTCATCTTCAATTTTTTTTTGTAGTGTTCATATATAACAAAGGGAATTTTTCATTTTAAAACCGAATTTCTTTTTTAATTTTTCAAAATAACATGTTTTTCCTTCCTCCAATTAAGACCCCCCCCCCCCCCACACCAAAAAAAAAAATGTGTGATTAGGGTTTCCAGACCGACCCTTATTTTGGATGCCGACCAAAACGTTTGTATGATGATTTCTTTAATTACGTTTTATTAAGATAGTGGTTGCTTATTTCATCAAAATACTAGACAGAAAGCAAACATGTTAAAACTACAAGTCTGTTCATTGACAAACTACAAATGACACAATTACCAGTTTGTGTATGTTATTACCAAAACTGGACATTGATTTTCTGGATTTCAACCAAAAAATTAAAAAAAAAATTACAGACTAACCGACCCTATGTTTTTTTGGAATGAAACTCTAGATAAGCACCCATATTTTTTTTTTTTGGCCTAATCTATATATATAAGCCACGATAGCTGTAGATTTGTTAAAGCATAGTTCTTGAAATCATTTTCCCCCTGGCGGTCGTTGAAAAGAAATTTTGCTGGTCCTCACTATCATTTCTATTGTAAAATACATTGTCATGATTGTACCAAAATTGTGTTGGTCCTTTGCAAAATTTTGGTGGTATAACACTTTTGGGGAACCCTGTTTAAGATCTTTACGGGACATTTTACAGAATGCACAAAATATCAGATAATTTTATGAACTCAAGTATATATATTGCTTCCGCAAATTTGCAGATTTAACATTGTTGTGCTGATATTTGGAGTAATTATGTACATATATATTTGAAAGTTAACCATGCTTAATTCTTTCAATTTTCAATTCCAGTAATGTCAGAAAATATACTTATCATGAAAGAGGGTATGGATGGGGGTCCCTCATTTCTTCATTCTTTTATTTTTTTGATAATTTTTCTCTATTCTTAATTTCTTTTTTTATATTTTGCCCATTATTCTCTATTCTTGATATTTAAGCATCCAATTATTTTCTATTCTTTATTTTTTTTTTTGCCTAAAGTATTTATCTCAGTTTTTTACTTTTTTAGCTCTTTATTCTGCACTTTTTACCCTTTATTCTCCATTCTGTAAACTCCATCCAGACCCTCCTGAAATTCTGTATGAAAGATACGGCTGTAATAAAATTATGGACAACACTGGTGATGAGATGAATTTGAGAGATTCATTTAGTTCATTAGCAATGCTGGACCTGGGACCAATAGGTTCATATATTAGTACCAGGTACATGTATGTCTTATCAGTTTTTCACTTGAACCATATTTTTAGTGCTGTAATTAATCTATAGTTTATATCTCATCTATGCGATAGACCAGTAGCTGGAACACAATTTTTTTTTATTTCAGTGTTAAAATGATAACCTTTTAGCATGTTTAGAATAAGTGCATAATACATGTAATACTAACATACATGTAGAGTTTCACCTTTAACTACATCAAACATAAGTACTATATCTATAGTTCACACAAGAATCTACTCTATACATGTTGCACTTCATGCTGGTTACATCTATATATTTATAAAAGAGAGGATTTGTCTTTGGGGCTTACTTTTTTTTCTTAAAATGAACAAAAATATAGATGCAGTGACTAATTGTAGAGCAAAAATAACAATCTATTCTATATCACCCGAGTCCACCTTTTTGTTAGAGGTTTATATAGGTTCTAGTCATCTGTCTCTGTAGTGTTTTGTAGACTGCTACTTATTTCACAAAAAATCCTTAATACGAATAAAAATACCGGTACTCGTAAGTCATGAACATTTCAGTAGTGTCAGTATAGCTTTCAATCAAAAGAGTAAGTTCAAGAAGGGCTAATTAAATTTGGCCCTACAAGTTTGATGTCTTTTGTATTCAGATTAAACCAATGTAAACCACTACAAGTTTTACATAGAAATAGTTGTGATATTACTATTAATACAAAATAACTTCTTTTTGGCACATCTAATTAACAAGAGTGCACACGCTGAAATGTCTCGCCTTCTTTATTTACCATAGATATCATGTTGATAGTCCTAAATATAAAGCTTTACTACAACTATCAACCTTACAATCAATCAATACACTAAATATAGTTGACCTGTTGCTTATAGTTTCTAAGAAACAGACTTAACCAAGAAAACTAAACATTGACCAATGAACCATGAAAATGAGGTCAAGGTCAGATGAACCATTCCAGGCAGACATGTACACCTTACAATCAATCTATGCATTAAATATAGTTGACCTCTTGCTTATAGTATCTAAGAAACAAACTTAACCATGAAAACTTAACATTGACCAATGGACCAACAAAATGAGGTCAAAGTCAGATGATACCTGCCAGACAGACATATACAGCTTACAATCCATCTATACGAAAAATATAGTTGACCTACTGCTTATAGTTAAAGAAAAACAGACCAAAACACAAAAACTTAACACTGAGTAATGAACCGTGAAAATGAGGTCAAGGTCGAATGATACCTGCCAGTTGGACATGTACACCTTACAATCCTTCCATACACCAAATATACTAGACCTATTGCTTATAGTATCTGAGATATGGACTTGACCACAAAAACTTAACCTTAAAATTGAGAATGGAAATGGGGAATTTGTCAAAGAGACAACAACCCGACCAAAGAGCAGGTCTACAACAGCCGAAGGCCACCAATGGGTCTTCAAAGCAGCGAGAAAATCCCGTACCTGGAGGTGGTCCTCAGCTTGTTCACTGATCCATGAAATGAGGTCGAGGTCAAGTGAAAACTATCTGACGGGCATGAGGACCTTGCAAGGTACGCACATACCAAATATAGTTATCCTATTACTCATAATAAAAGAGAAATTAACATTACAAAAAATCTTAACTTTTTTTCCAAGTAGTCACTGAACCATGAAAATGAGGTCAAGGACAATGGACATGTGACAGACGGAAACTTCGTAACATAAGGCATCTATATACAAAGTATGAAGCATCCAGGTCTTCCACCTTCTAAAATATAAAGTTTTAAGAAGTTAGTTATCGCCGCCGTACCACTATCCCTATCACTTTCTGCGACAAAAGTTGCAGGCTCGACAAAAATGACTTTGTCTTTCTTTGACTAACGGTTTGGATTGCCCTCTTGGTATTCCCCCCCCCCCCCCCCCCCCCCCCCCAACAGGGCTTCAGAATTTTTTTGGAAAATACACTTATCCATGGGATTTCACTTTCCAGTATTTATTTTATCAATTTCATCTGGTTTGATTACATTACTGTTTAAGTCTAATAATTTCCGTTTCTTTGATGAATTGGCGGAGATAAAATATTTATGCCAACTCATGGTTTCATGACCTCCATTACTGTTTACTGATAATAACTATCTACTGCTGTAAATGCAAGGAAACAAGTGATTAGTTCAGGGAACCAGTTTCTAAACTAGATTTTGTCCAATAACCGACTTTGTCAAACAAGAATAAGATGCTCCGGAAAGTATCACATAAAGACGATTTACTTACCGGATGGGCAACTGGTACCTGTGTTTTCGTTTACCGGGCGATTTTTTCACTTTCCCCGGAAAAAGGGAATTCCTAAGCCCTGCTCCCCCCTTTTCTACAATATGGATATACATATAAAGACAATTTCAAGGCATAGAACTCATTAATGTATAATTACCATTAATTGATTACAGGTGTGTTGTCAGATAAACTGGTCAATCCATTTAAATCCCTGAGGTCATGTTCTGACATATGTGTATTACTTCGACACAATGAATGCAATTTATATGCTTTTGTTAACCTTGGGACTGTAACTTTGGTTGGACACAATTGAAATTTCAACTCATCAGGAGTTGAAATACATATTTTTTTATGGAACAAAATTCGGGACCACAGAAAATTTTGATGCATCGGAAATTTCGAGCCAACTGAGTTTTGAGACAAGGAGAGTTAACTGTATGTTGGTTTTGATGTGGGGGTCTTTGGTAGTCCCTTCCTACCAGTACCTTCCACATCCATTTTCATGGAATAACACTGATCACTAACCTGGTGGAGGATCAAAGTGCTGTCTGACCAGTTTGGTTACTTCTGCTGCTGCAGTCGTACTAGTATTATTGGCCATTCTAGCATTTGCTAGGTGCATGTGTCTTGGAGACGTCGTCATTCTTATTTTTTTTCTTCACCTGGAAGCATTAAAATAAAAGTTTTTACCTAGATCAATCATAAATCACTCTAGATCAATCCTTGGAGTGGTTATCACATATTCTCTGATACTTGATTGTTTGAACAGTAATTAGGTGTTTACAATTATTGTTTGTGACAAATAACAATTAAGTGTTCAAAAGGCATGTGTGTGTCGTTTGGTGCTGTATATATTGCAAGGGTTCAAATTTGCTTTACACATATGTTACATAATAAAAGATCCAGGACTAATTGAATTTTCAAATAAAAAGGTCCTCCTTAAAAATCAAGTTCAGTATTTATAAAGCATCAGTGTAAAGAATGGAGGTCCTTGACTTTTGTAATTCAAAAATCAAAAGGCCCCCTCCAAAAAAAGACAGGTTCAAAACCTTGGACAAACACTAATTTAAACCCCTGTATTGTATAAATTCTTATTTGTATTGCTTTATACATGAATCAGGCCTTTAACTTGTTTCACATTAATCTTCATATATATGGGTCTTTAATAGTTCTTGTTATGCGGTATGGGTTTTGATCATCATTGATGGCTGTACGCTGCTTACAGTGACCTACGCTATATCATGTATATAGTTGCTAACTTCTACTTAATTTTGTTTCTTGTGGAGAGTTGTCTCAATAGCAATCATACCACATCCAGTCTTCACATTTAACTACAGGCCCACAAGCCCAGGCATGTAAAATTGGTTTCGGGCCTGTAAAAATCTTCTCTCCAGGCCAACAGAATCCAACTCAAAATTTTGGTAAAATTGAGCTTTGGGCCTATAGATTCAAAAGTCTATCGTGAAGACTCATGCACATCTTCTTATTTTTAAAGGACGATGTAGTGTTAAAAATATATACAAGTGATTGTTTTCCTGAAAGTATTTCTGTCTCAGATATTTGGATACCCGTATGAGAATATTAGGTGGATTCCGCTTAAAAATAGCAGGAACCCAGGCGGAATCCACCTAAAAATTATGACTTATAGACGGAATTAAGGCGGACATGGAATATAGAAAAAAACCCGTCTTAAGTATCATAGACCTTAGGCGAAATGTTTACTACTTTCCTGTTGAGTTAACAGGATTTCTGTAGTAAAAGAAATATCATAGACGGAATGCTGGACTTAGTAGATTTGTTCAAGTTTCTTAGGAGGAAATTGGACTTAGAAAATTTTGTTCAAATTTATCAGGCGGGAATTGTACTTAGAAAATTTTGTCAAATTTATCAGGCAGAAATTTTCTTTCTGTTTATGTTTTCAAATGAAAAATATATCATTACTGAATTTTTTTTTTAAATTCTATAGTAATGAGAGAGTGCTGATTATTTGGGCAGTAAATCCAGTGTTTGTACCACCCTAAAATCTAACATTTAATGTAAAGTGATTGCATTATTCAATTATGAATTTGAAAAAAAAATTATAGCCAATTATAATCCCTGCATTGGTTACTTTTTAATATTTACATACTAAATAGTGTCTATAAATTTATAGCATTGTTAGGTAATTTATAATTTTAATTGTGTAATTTAATTAATCTTGATTACTGAAATGATTACTCACTTTAAAATAGATTTACATGTTATGTGTTGCTATCTATAATGCACTTAAACATTATATAAAGTGACAAGATATATATATATATATATATACTTTAATTATTTCACTTACAGAATTTCAGACAATAATTTATTTTTGAATTTTCCATTAAATGAATTGCAGGTTACAATTAATTTATTTTCAAGTATCTCTATTTAATTAATTAGTATACACAAAAATTATTTCCATGCAGTCTCTTTCTTATCAATTAGTGATAGAAATGATATGTGCCATCTGGTTTCTATTTATCTCTGTGATATTGACAGGAAATGATGTACAAAAGAGTTGGGGCCCAGTGAAGGAGACCACATTGTTTTGTACATTTCTCTGAAATTTCTACAACTTAAAATATAAGGAAAATAGATAAAATCATGTGAATATTTTTTATTTATTATTATATATATCAAATATTTAAGATTTAGGTAATTTAAATAGTATGATTAGGGAAACAGTTCAAACAACTCCCTAAACAACCCCAACAGATTCAAAATTTGAACTTGCAGACAACAAGCAAAGATGTCTAATTTATCATGAACAAAATATGAATTTTACAATGGATGTAGAGTTTAGACTAAAAAGTTCCAAAGTATTCTATTAACATTAAAAAGTGCAGATGTATTCTTCTGATGACATGACTATTGGATTTAGGAAGATTGATGTTTTCATATATTTTGGATTAAATCTTTTGGTAAGTACAAATTATGAATAAGTATTTCCACCATTTTGAATATTATGAAACTGCTATTTCCTTCAAATAAAATGTGACATATATAAAGTATCTTCTTAACCATGTAGGATTAAGAAAATAACTATAAGACCATGCATTTTTTGCATATAAATAATTATTATGGTATTCAGTGTACGACACAAGACTTATATTTTTAAGACAATCTCTTTTATAAAATATTTCTTTATAGTAGTTTTGGCAAAATTGGAGATCTGTGATATGACTGCAATAATTAAATATATAGACATCTATCCACAAAAGGCAAAAAGTATTATCTTTAACTTAAGTACTCAATTATGGATCAAATTTAAAATTTTAAAAATGGGCAAGACTTACATGTAAATATAGGCCTACAACTGTATGATGTTTAAGTAAAATGAAAAACAAATATTAATCAAAGTAAAGAATATCAACCTATACACTTCATGCACTGAATATATGGTAATATTTAGTATCAGACAATTTTTTATATTTCAGAACTGGTGAAAAGAAAATTTAAAGAATGATGTATGCGCAGACTATTAGTTTTAATATAATCTTTTCAAAATGTTTTCTGATAGGACTGAAGAATGGAAACACAATCAGACTTTGAGTAAGTAGTTTTATACGAAAGAAATCCTTATTTTAAAATGCTTTTAAAGTAGAATTTGCACATGTTGGACTTTCAAAACATTTTGAAAAAAGTTGTAAAACCATCTGTAATTTTTTTAGATATAAACATGATATATAATCTTTTATTTAAACACAACAATTTGAAATAATCTATGATGCTTAAAATGCACATAAAATCCAAATTAGCAAATTGAAATAGGGGGTCACAGCCCACAGGTCTTATTTTCTTCAGAAAATCCCCAAAACAGGTCCTGAGTAAATTAAATTCATTATAATTATCTGCCCTTGATTTTACAAGGTTTTTTTTCTAAAAATTTAATTACATTTTAAAACAATTGCCTAACAACTCTTATTTTTTTATAGTTTAATCTTATAATATCAAGTTTTAAATGTTTCTGTTGTGTATTGAATAATATATGGTAAAAATAGTAAATTCAAGTCAATATGTCAAAATAGTGAAAAAAAAATACAAAATATATATTGGAATACACATGACCAAATAAACCAATGAAGGGATGCTCAGAAAAAGACACCCGACCTACTTATACAGCTCACAATTTACCTATTTAACATAGACAAATTTGGTAAATTCATTTTAATTTAACCAATAATGCATGGTAATTTTAATTTATGTCCTCATTTTTTTTTTCAGTTTATGTAACTGCTTGGTGCACAAAACACAACAAATGCATACAAGATGGTCAGATTAATGATGCTGTTACAGAGCAAATCAGTTATGCACGAAAGAAATTAAGGAAATTGTGATAATACTTTTTATTCGAAGAACACTGAAAAGACATTAAAATATGACTAATAACTGAAAATGAAGAAATTGGGAAGAACTAAAAATGTCAATATTATACATGTAGTAAATTGTAGTTGCTTAAATACAGTCGATCAAGTTTGATAACAATTTTACTATTTTATTTGTATGAAGGCCTAGTTTTTCTTTGCAAGAATGCATAGAAATGGTAAAAACCTGGATCTGTGGAATGAAAAATTTCCTTCATTGAAGGCAGAATTTTTTTCATATTCTTAAGGCGGAATTTTTTTCATATTCTAAGGCGGAATTTTTTTCCAATTTTTAAGGCGGATTTTTTTCTCACTTCTAAAAGCGGATATATTTTCCGTCTCTTTAGGCGGATATATTTTCCGTCTCTTTAGGCGGATATTTTTTGAGAAAAACATTTTTCCTTTTAATCAGACGGAATTTTTCCCCCCTAAGACAGGCGGATAAATTTGCATATTTCGGCCCTATTCCGCCCTGAACCCGCCTGGAATCCATGTAAGAAAGATTCATCGTGTAAAGGGGGACTTTAAACAGATTCCTTCTAAAATTTCCGTCTGGAATCCATGTAAAATACGCCTGGATTTTTTCGTACAGGTAAACCCCAAATTCGGATTCTTGTCTGACTATTTAAAATTTGAATCAAACCCTTTTCTAAAACAGACACATTGCCACATTCTTTATGTGCCTGTCCCAATGACAGGTCCACCTTCAACAATGCATATGCCTTGTTCGGGTTGAGACACAAATGACACCTTACAAAAACATGAGAAGTAAAAGTAAATCAATTTGCACCCATAAAACTGATAAAAAGTTTTAAATAGTTAAGAGGGCCACAAAAATGAGCTTTGTGATAATCTACAGACTCATTGCTCAAACCTGAAATGGTTAAATTGTCTGCTTACAGAAGATTTTTTTAATATGAAAATGCCTGTCTTCAGCCTGAAATATTTGCCACACTAAATGTTTCGACATGTTTATGTAAATTATGGTGTGTAAATAAATCATCCTCTATATAATTTTATTTAATCCTTTTGATTCTGCATCTCTCACACAATGGCAGTTCATTTCCAATTACCTAAATATGAATTGTAACACTTTATAGTGTCTGAAAAGGGTGAGCAAATCATCAGAAAATTAATCATGTTAATCTTTAATGTAGAAGACATCTTGAAACAGTACCAGATCATTTGACATTGGAGCTTATAAAGGGACACTTATATCTAAGATAGTTCCATTTCAATGCAAAACATGTTTAAATATTGTGAAGAGAAATAAAACAAAATCAATGGCAAACACTGTAGTTGATTAATACTAATAGATATCATTATAGTACATTTGTACATTACGTGATTATTTCTGTATTGGCCTTGTTATTGGTCTGTGGCCAGAAGTATTATACAGCAAGCCTAGGACTAGTCCAAATAATTATGATGTCTTGAAAGGTTTTTTTTTTGGCTTTGACGCCTCACATGTACTTAAATCTTAATTATTTGGACTAGCCTTGGACCAATACTGGCTATATAGCTAATCAGTAATAATATCATAATAAAAATGTCTGTATATTTTGTCATCAAATTATTGTTTGTTTTACTACCTATGCTGCCTGAATTCAAAGTATATAAAAAAAAATTAATTTTACCGACTACTGAAAAAAAAAACGGAACAAGACTTGATAATTAAGTTAACGTTCCCGGAATAATCGAAGATATTACAACTATGGGCGAAAATAATCAGTGGGCAAACGACGAACGGACCGGATACCTCATGAGTTCCATTAAATGATGATGCCGGTAATATACTCAAAATGCACACCTAGAGATGCCTTCAATTTCATGTTGGCCCACTATCCATTGTTCCCGCCATCTATCGTTTGTGACGTTATATTTCTAAACCTAAAGTCGTTTCAGGTAAATTAATTCCGGCTTTCCAATTACAGGCACTTGTATCTGAAAAAATTTCCCCTATTATCACACTTACATCAAGGTTTAGGAATATAGGTATGTCTTTCAGAGACAAGAACCAGTCTAAATATCTAACTAATCTACACCACCAATCTAAACCCCCTATATATGATATATGAGGGTCTGGATTTGGTTTATGTACCATGGCCAACTATTTTCCTCAGTGTAAGCCAGTACGAGTTATCGCGCATGATTTTAATTTCTTATCCGTCTGATCGGTCGTTTCTGTGTGTGATAGTGAGACTAGGAACAGTATATCTAGTCAATATATATGGTCCTGGTACAGACGAAAATAAAACGGGACAAAAAGTGCAGAATCATGAAAGGGAAAAATATGACTTGGAAACATAGGCCAAAAAATTAAAGTATAGAGAATAATGGGGTGCTAAAATATAAAAATATAGAGAATAACTTGGGCCAAAATAAATAATGAGAATCAGAGAAAAAGGGTAAAAAAAAAAAGAAATAATAAAGAAATGATCGGGGGATATCAAAATATGATATTTTGTTTTTGGTTTTAAACATTTATTAAAGCGGAATTGTGAAATAATACTTCTCTATTAGCATGATTAGCGGTTTTGGTTCAATTTTGTCAAAATGAGCATTAAAACATGGATGATGTACATAATTATTCATGCTAGTCAATAATTCAACTCATTTGAATCCGGCGTTTTAATGCGAATTTTAATATAACCTTAAATTGTTGTTGAATTGAAAGTTCGCATTAAAACGCAGGACACAAATGAGAATATTTGGCAACAAATATATATAGATATAAGAAGATGTGGTATGAGTGCCAATGAGACAACCGTCTCCATCCAAGTCACAATTTATAAAAGTAAACCATTATAGGTCAAAGTACGGTCTTCAACACGGAGCCTTTGGCTCACACCGCACAGCAAGCTATAAAGGACCCCAAACATTACTAGTGCAAAACCATTCAAACGGGAAAACCAACGGTCTAATCTATATAAAAAACGAGAAACGAGAAACACTTATGAACCACATCAACAAACGACAACTACTGAACATCAGATTCCTGACTTAGGACAGGTGCAAACAATTGCAGCGGGTTTAAACGTTTTAATGGTACCAAACCTTCACCCTTATCAGAAACAATAGTGTAACATCACAACATAAAATATCAATTGAAATGGCTTTAACTCAATCAAAAGACATATTAACACAAGTGAACATACACTGAACGAATAAATTTGGTCTATGATATATATATGTAAGCTAAAAAAAAAAAAGAAAAATGAGCTTACAATTGCCTATAATTGCTTAAATCCACTCCATTAGAACTTTGGTGGATAGTTGTCTCATTTGCAATCATACCACATCAGAGAATAAATTTTAAGTTCTTCTAGTAACTAATCAATTATAGATTTAGAGCACATTAATCTAACTCTGAGGACATAAACGAATAATTTTGTAGTTTTTCAAGAGGTTTCTCCAGTTGAAATAATAAAATCGTACTACTTCATCAAATACAGATTACAGTCAGAAATCATTGGGTCGGTTTCTTGGAATATGGTGACGACAATGTCCATGGTGATGATTAAAGATGTGTTTGTAAAACTATAAACTCTCAGTATAAGCTATCTTCGCTAGATGAGTTTTGCCGGTAAAAAAGTGAAGAAGAGATTTTAAAATTCGTTTTATTAAGAAAGAAGTGGTAGAAGAGAAGAGCAATACTGTTGAATAATTCGTTGACATTTTGGTTAAATATTATTAAATGGCTTCAACTCAATAAGTACTTCAGTATAAGTTTATAACAGAGTAGCTTTTTTTGTGTCTCAGTAATTTTAGTTTTTCTAAGATAAGCAAACTCAGACATGTTAATTTAACCCCGCCACTTTCTGTATGTACCTATCCCAAGTCAGGAACCTGTAATTCAGTGGTTGTCGTTTGTTGCTGTATTACATATTTGTCTTTCGTTCATTATTTTGTACGTAAATTAGGCCGTTAGTTTTCTCGTTTGAATTGTTTTACATTTGTCATTTCGGGTCCTTTTATAGCTGACTATGCGGTATGGGCTTTGCTCATTGTTGAAGGCCGTACGGTGACCAATAAGTGTAAATTTCTGTGTCATATGATCTCTTGTGGAGAGTTGTCTAAATGGCAATCATATCACATATCTTTCTTTTTATATGTGAGAAAAATGCATTAAAAATTTCCTCACACCTATACATGCTATATTCACACTTATTTGCATTATACGGGCACTATGGCTTCATCCACCAATAAAACCACACCGCCTCAAAATATCACTATAATGCTGAAAGTGGCGTTAAACGCCAATCAATTAATCAATCAATCAAGGAATTCCAGGAAAGGTAAGCTATAAGTATAGATCAGTATTGTAACATGTTTAAATTAATACATAGATCATGAGCAAGCAAACAGTCACAAAATCTAAAAAAAAAACACATCTATTGTTCTGTGTTTGGAATGAAGTGGGTTCATATAAAAATAAATTGATAATATTTGAGACCCTGATAAAGGAATTCATGAATAGTAAAATATGAAGTTATTTCTTAACTGGACACATATCTCTTGGTCATAACAATTTAGTTAATATTCAAAAAGAGAGACGAAAGATACCAAAGGAATAATCATTCTCATATTAAGTAAAAAAAGAGGTGACAATGTCTTTAAAGATTAAAAAGCAAATACAAAAGAATGACCAAACGACTAACAACAGTATACAGAAACTTTAACACATAATTTGAAACTAAACCTATTATTTTACAATTGAAAAGTTATATTTTAATGAAATTGTATCAAAACATTAACTCAAATCATTTCTTTTGTATTTTCAAAACATAAACAAACGCATTCCCCCCACCCCCCATCATCCTTTATTACAGTGAACATGAACTATTCGCACTTTGTATACACTGGAGAGACCAAATCTAAATAAAACAACATCTCCTTGTGGAAGGCCTCAGTGTCACTTTGAGATGAAGAACAGCAATAAAAGTGCTGTTCCTTTGCTTTTTTGAGCATTTTTTTTTGCTGTGCATGTACTGAATTTGTGTCATGGATGGATACCCCATATCCTTTGTTTTTTCTATTCTTTAACATTCCCCGAATACCTTTGGTTAACCAACTTGAAGGCTGGTAAAACAAGTGATGCAGTTACAATGTAAAGTTGTTAAAGGAAAACTTCTATCTAACTCTCCCATTTGATTCAATTGAAAGGGGTCATACTTTAATTGCTACATAGAATACAATAACATGCGTTAATACAATGAAAAACAATTTAAACACAAAAAAATTATAAGGGGAAGATAATCCAAAAGAATACTAATCAAGTCAGTCATTATAAATGATTTTAATGACGGTCCAGTAAAACAGTAGGCACAAATGTAAGGCTTACTTATTTTAGATCACTTTATAAAATACCAGATAAGTATAAGTCTAGAATTAACGAATTTGACAAGCTTCTTAAAACTTTGAATCAAACTTCACATTATGGGTAACAAATATCGTTTGTCGTTTGTTGCTGTGTTAATATTTTTTTTTTGTTCATTATTTTGTGCATAAATAAGGCCGTTAGTTTTCTCGTTTGAATTGTTTTACATTTGTCTATTCGGGCACTTTTATAGCTGACTATGCGGTATGG